TCAAAAACTGGTTTTCTTTCATTTCCAAGTTATTTTGATTATTCATGTTCATGTTGGTTACCTTGCGTTCTAGCACCCCTATTTCTTTCAATTTTCATCAAAAAATTGGATAGCTGAGAAAAGCTGATTTTTGACGAAAAAGCCGACTATAGCTACGATTTTCAAAATAGCTGAAATAGCTTACCAGTGGCAAGCCTGCACTTAACATATATGACCCACCGTTTGAACACACGCATAAAAAACATGTACATAAAGTTATTTTTTGTAAGCAATTACGCGCGAATTGTGTGCACATTCTACGGCTATTGAGTAATTAAAGCAGGCATAAGAAGGGAGTTGAAATAAAGTGGCTTCGGGAGAAAGAGGCAGAAATAGAGGGGAGGTTGAAATAAATTGAGAGAAAGCGAAAGAGAGAGAGAGAGAGAGAAAGAGAGAGATTGTGTGTGTGTGTCATGTAAGCGATTTACGAGCTGTGAGAAAGGTGAAAAGTTGATGGGTAGTGGTTGGCGACAACAACAGCATCGGCGACCGTATACACACCAACGAGAAAAAAAGCGGTGTCTGAACATTTGGCATTTGCTCATAATATATCAGTAGAGTTCTCACATTATTATAGAAAAAGCGCCGCATAGAATGATTTTAAATTTAAAAGCATAAACATGATGAACTGAACCCGACGAACATACACACACACTGCCACACTCCCTGATGATGAAAACAAAAACTCGTTAAAGCATATAATTACTTTATAATGAAGTTGGACACATTAATTAAATTGCGCTCGACTGCTTGGACTAATTGCCATATCGGGTCATAATGGCGTGTAATGAAACCGGTGGAAAATTTGTCATGATTTTCGGGTTTACTTATTTTTGTCCTCTTTAATTCTCTATCTGTCTCGCACTGCCTTGACACCCGCATCATCCATCGGTGCGTGCTCACTCACTCGCTCTACCTCACCCAATATCGCTGATGGGATACGTACTTTTTTTTTTCTCACTCGCTCTCCCCCACTTGCACTCGCTCTCTCTCTCTCTCTCTCTCTCTCTCTCTCTCTCTCTCTCTCTCTCTCTCTCTCTCTCTCGGGCTTCATGTTATTTTCATTCATCTTGATTTCATTAAAATTCGATTTTATGTCCTTACATCAACATCAACATCGTTTATCAACATCGGATATTTCACGCCACATCGTTCGTCTCACCTTTCGATTCCGTTCCACCATTTCACTTTCCATTTTCATTTCCTTCGACGATTTGCCAGTAACTACATCATTATCACCATGTACGAAAGGTTAATTAAGTGGACTAAAGTCGCTGCTATCTTTCATATTCACACCTTTAACTCTTCTTACTCTTCTTCTCTCATTCAATCTCTTCAGCTCTCTCTCTCTCTCTCTCTCCATCTCCCACCATTGCTCTCTCTCTCTCTCTCTCTCTCTCGCTTTCACTCTCGCCAAACACCCGAGATATATCGATGCAAAGAAAATGCCATAACAACAACCTCGTTAATCGATTGCTTGAACATTGGCGGTCTATGCAAGCAACGCTTGCGAATTGCCACTTTAATTAATAATATCAACTCATCCGGTTAAAAATTTTCAAATAAACACACGCATACCTTCAAAGAAGACCAACAATTTTGAATCTTCATTTCTTTCTATCTTTTGTATTGCAAAATCATTTGCGATGGAAACGCGTTTATTTACTCTGAAATTGGTACGTACTCGGAATTCTTCTTTTTACACTCACAATAGTCACGGAACCTGCATATTCCAACATGACAGTGTCACATGGCAAATAATAGCAACAGTTTTCAACATTTAAGTTTCATTCCATTTTGATAGTAAAGAAATCCTGAGTTCACCGATTCGGAGAAAAGTAAGCCTTAGAAAGAAAGGTCAAGGAAAAGCTATAAAAAAGGTTCAAATTCCAGAAATCGCCGCATCTACTTCGTCTTCTATGAAAATATAGTTCAATTATTAGGTAGATTTCGAAAAGCTCTCTTCCTTTCGATCGTCAAATGTAAAGAATTTAAGAGATTAAGCAGTTAAATTCAGGAAAGAAAAATCCGCTTAGCTGCTCATCGACCCATATAATGATGATGTTCCCATTAAAATATTGTACTTGTCGGTGAATTAAAAACCATTAAAAATTTGTCATCGCTACAGGCATTCGAAAATGATTTCCGTTGTGCCGGTGTATTTCACATCGTTGGGTTTGCATTCCGCGGTCGTCGGCAGCGGCACCGGCAATGTTGATAATTTCATTTTCAGTTGAATGGTTTGCGTTTGTGTTGGTTACCGAGAGATCAAAACAAACCACGATTAAAACATAATGAATGTGATTGATTAATTATCTTGTTGGAAATGTTATTGATTAATTGAGCGGACAATTGACGAAAAGTGGTTTTGTGATGATGATGTTGTTTGGGGAGCAGCAAACAAATGCTCAACCATCGTACCATATGGCTGACCATTAACCAATAATAAATGTGAGTGTGCTACACACCGCACATTAAAACAATAATCACATTCTCAAATTAGAAACGTAATTAAAACTGAAAGCAACCGAATGGCATTGGAAAGCCGGAGTGTGAGTGTGAACGAAAAAAAAAAATCAAATGAATTACTTTGCAAAACAGGACGTGCTAACGAGAGTGAGCTGGCAGAGAGAAAAAAGCAACGACAGAGAAAAATAATAAACAAACAAATTAATTAAAAAACATGCCGGAGACATAAAAAACACTCCGTTATTTATAATAATCATAAATATTAACAGTTTCGTTTTCAATTTCAATATTAATAAAGTGGTGAGAGCCGGTGCTAATACATGCCATTTATTGAGGTTATTATCATTTAATCGGGCATTCTTGTTACTTCTCAAAAACAATGAATAACGTTAATTTTATTGTCATTGCTGTTATGTTAATACATCAACACATACCCGCTCTCTCTCTCTCTCTCTCTCTCTCTCTCTCTCTCTCTCTCTCTCTCTCTCTCTGATTCTCCCCCTCTCTCTCTCTCTCTCTCTCACGCTCTAGCCGAAGCGAAGTGTTTTAAACAAATGGTCAAAACACGATCGAACACCGAGAGGGAAAAAAGCACACCGTATGCACATATACACACACTCAACTGGATGGAAACAAAAACAATGCGGCAAATGTGTACTCGATAACTGACCGAATGTACACAATAACAATCAAAGGACAAGAAGCAACAAAAAAATATATTAATCCGGATATGATATGCCGTTAATATTGATGTAATGTTTGTGTGGTATTCATTTAATGTGCTTGCTTTACCCAATCTCTCGCGCCGCGCTTTTTCTCTTCCTCCGCTCCTATCAGTGTATGTATATGTGGTATGAAAGAGTGCGAACATTTGTGTGAAGCGCGCGCGATATGCGCGCCGTGTTGCACATGCACGCCAACACTTAACACAACTGTAAACCACTGATGCATTTAATAATGAATTTGACCATGTCGTAGTGAAGTGAGAACAACATTTAAAAATAACAAACATTTAATTTAATTCGTTTTTTTTTCGTTCGCGCTCTTTCGTTCGGTATGTTTAAAATCGACCTCATTGCTATAGTTACACCACTTGTCACTCATACCCATTCACCACACTCACTCTCTCTCTCTCTCCCTGGCTCTATTGCTGCTTAAATGCCACATTTTCGTGTAATACATGCTCATTAACGCTTGTCATTCAAATTGCGTGCACATTTTCATACGCTCTCTGGTCACCGTACTCACTAATTTCTTGCTTTACTAAATGAATTCAGGGCGGAATAATCGAGCTTAAAAAGCCATCGTTAAGTCTAACGTCTCGTTGGCGCTAGTTTGATGTTGATGAGTCCAGTCTGCCACAAAAAAGACATACTCCGTCGAAATGTTCAACAATCAATGGATTTATTGATCATTTTGTATGAAATTCACTTTGAATGTCCACTTGGAATAGGTTTTTTTTTCTCCTTGCTGTCAAAACCAATTTGAAATATTGAATCAAAATTAAAATTGTAGAAAAAAGAAAACAAGGTAAGTATATATAAAATTTTAAATTTACGATTCGGATTTTAAACGAAGTACTAGTTGAGGGTGGATGAGTTGTTCAATCGAGTTCTTGAGTAATAGTTGTAACCACATTACGATCAATCTGTCAACAAGGAAACATTTTAAGCAAAACCAAGAATTCTTCGATATCATCCGACCAATTCGTTTGAAAATTGTTCAATTTGTTCGAATTGTTCAATTTTGAAGCTTAGGAGATACACTTGGCCAAACAGAGCAGAGACATTTATTTGATCGTTGGCCAGCTTAAACTCCTTCAAAATTCGTTGAACTCCATCAAGCTTGTTGACATGATTTTTCTGTTTGTACCAACGACTGCTAGTGTCGAACGTAAATGCACGTAAATTCTGCATAATATTAAACACACCCATTAATTTTTCATTGTTTTCCTATTAAGAATGGATGCGTTTAGTATTATGTGACTTGATACTAGCAGTTCATGGTTTGTACCATATCATGAGATGTGATTTTTTTTCTCTCCAAAATCTATGTTTGCGTCACCGAATTTAACAAGGTGCGCGCGCGGAGTATATAGTGAAATGATTCTGTTATGAAAGATGGTGACACTATGGTATACTGAAAATAAACTGCACACTTCGTACACATCATGATTTATAATAAAAACACGATATTGTTTCATGCAGCATGCAAACCGTTCTCTTTAATTGATTGAATTGAAAATTATATTCATAAGCTTTTGCATTGTACATTTGCAGTATACAGAGCTAAAAAGTAACATTTGAGAAAATCGCATATGTAGTATGTCAATATTATATTTTGCAAAATAACACCAGCATGCAATATGCTCTGTCCGTTTCATGTATATTCACATTTTTTGTTTGTCTCCAGCTTCTTTCAGAATTTGGGCCAATCTCGTGCTAACTACATTGCAAGAAAGCCAGAACAATTCAAAGATCTGTAATTTAGTTTCAAACTGAATTTTGGACTCCTGCCTCTTCCTTCGGCTTTTTGACGAGGTGTGTATGTTTGTCTGCGTCTTCAGCATTCACATTGGCACCAAGTTCAATAAGAGCTGGAACTATTTTCTCACTTTCTGAAAAGAGAAAGTTGAGGAAACTGCAATGAAAAATGAAAACTTTCAATGGAAATGTGTGAACAATTTACCCCAATAAGCTGCGTCATGAAGTGATGTCCTTTTATGGGTGTCTTCAGCATTCACATTTGCACCAAGTTCGATAAGAGTTCGAAGTGCATCTACATTACCTGAGAAAGTAATAAGAAATATTTCAATGAAAAGGAAAACCTGTAATGGGGATAAGTGAAGTGAACGATTTACCCCAACTAACTGCATAAAATGAAGTGGTGTCAATTTTGAATCGTCTACATCATCCACATTTGCACCAAGCTCAATAAGAGTTCGAGTAATATTCCTATCGTCTGAAAAAGATAATGAGGGAAACTGCGATAAGAGTAGGAAGACTTTTGATGGAGATATATAAATGATTTACCACATTTAGCCAAGAAATGGAGTGGTGTTTCTTTATCATTCGTTTCAGCATCCACATTTGCACCGTGTTTAATTAGAGTTCGAACAACATCTTTTTGTCCTGGATTATAAGAGAAATTGCAATAAGATTTGTACACTTTTGATGGAGACGTATGAACGATTTACCCTTTATAGCTGCTCGATGAAGTGGTGTCTTTTTATCTTTGTTTTTAGCATCCACTGTTGCACCAAGTTCAATAAGGGCTGGAATTACATTCACATGATCTGGAAAGGTAATGAGAGAAATTCTTATCAAAATGACGATCTGTAAATAGATGGAGGATTTACCATTTTCAGCTGCGTAATGAAGTGGTGTCTGTTGATAATATCTTTCAACAGCATCCACTTTGGCACCAAGTTCGATAAGAGCCCGAACAACATTCACATGACCTGGGAAGATAACAAGAAAAATTTTCAATGTAAAGTAAACCCTGTACTGGAGATAATTTCGATCGATTTACCATTTATGGACGCATAATGAAGTGATTTCTTCTGAATATAGTTTTCAGCATCCACATTTACACCAAGTTCAATGAGAGCTCGAACAATATTTTCATGCCCTAGAAAGAAAATTAGAGAAATAGCAATAAGAATAGGAAGATTTTTGATTGTAGCGTGTAAACCAATGGAATGTACCCCAAGCAGCTGCGCGATGAAGTGGTGTTTCTTCATTTTTGTCTTGAGCATCTACTTTAGCTCCAAGTTGAATAAGGGCCCGAACTATATTCACATGACCTGGATAAATAATAAGAAAAATTCCAATGAAAAAACCTGTAATGGAAATAAGTGAAGTGAATGATTTACACCAAATGGCTGCGCGATGAAGTGGAGTCCATTTCCACTTGTCTTCAACATCTACTTTTGCACCAAGTTCAATAAGAGCTCGAACTACATTCTCATGGCCTGGAAAGTGAAATATGAGAAAAGAACAATGAGAAATGATAGATCTTCTAATGGGGATGTGTGAATTGCGAAGCAGTCGCGCAATGAAGTGGTGTCTGTTTAATTACATCTTCCGCATTCACTTTTGCACCATGTTCGAGCCGAACCATAAGAGCCCGAACCATCTCTGCATGGCCTGAAACGATGATGAGAAATAACCACACGTTTATAATCACATAAAAACCTTGTGTCAAAACATTCTGCAGCGCCGTCGATCTATGACGACAAAATTCAATACTAATCGGTGTTATTATGCAGTATTTCGCAATTTGTCGGAATCACTTCCAGCTATTTACAGGTGATTTCGCCGTCACTAATCGACGGCGCTGCAGAGAGTCTACTTTCTTGATTATAATCGTGTGGAAATAACCATTAACCATGGCATAAAATACTGTATTTTGAGTTAGATGATATCATCACAAAACAAATCACATGAAAATGTCTCCGTTTGAAGAAGAAAAAAATCGCTAATTTGGGAATATAATCCACAACAAAGATGGTTTTATTTCAAATGCAAAATATTTCGTCAAACAAACTCTTTGTCTTCGGTATTCCAAAAAAAAAAAATAGCCAAAAGCGAAAAAAATGATCGAAAATGTATCGGAATTACCATTTTTTTAAAATTCGTTTTTGATCAATTTCAAAAATTATCGGAGGCTGACACTGATTTTTACGAAATATGTTAACTGCGGTAAACTGATACATTTGTCCAAAATTATCAGCTAAACAATAAACATTGCCGTTTACCGTTTGTACAGAGTAATAAAGACTACAGCAATGGTGTGAATTTGTGAAATAAATAGGATTGGACAGCAAGATGTTTGATTTACACACGGATACAACTAGTATGCATAAAATCAAAATATTTAATACTACAATCATTTTTTCTTAACCCTTTGACGACCAATGGGACACATATGTCCCATTTTGTTTTTCATCTGTAATAACTACATTTTTTAACCAATTTTAGTAAAATTGGTTTCGTTTGAAAGAGAATTAATGTAGCTATCAGAAAGTACCATAATATTGAATCAGATGAAAAACCTCTAGACGAGGTTGAAATGGAGTGACGCTCCGTGCGTGGATTTAGCACTCAAAATGACTGATATCATTTTGAGTGACGCTAGGACGCTGTATTACTGGGAACGAAGTTCAAAAGTGTTTTTCGCATTCACTATTGTGAAAATTTATTTACAATAAGGAAAAATATCGCGTCACGACTTTTGGACGGCAAAACGCTTTAAAGCTTGACTTGAAGACTAAATTCAAAAGTCGTGACGCGATATTTTTCCTTATTGTAAATAAATTTTCACAATAGTGAATGCGAAAAACACTTTTGAACTTCGTTCCCAGTAATACAGCGTCCTAGCATCACTCAAAATGATATCAGTCATTTTGAGTGCTAAATCCACGCACGGAGCGTCACTTCATTTCAACCTCGTCTAGAGGTTTTTCATCTGATATCACTAATTTTGTAAGGCAATTATTCTCGGAAAAAATACACTTTTGCCAGAAATATGTCTATTTTAAGGTCTTATCATTAAGAAATTGTAATTTTTCGGGTAAAACATTTGCATATACATTCCACAAGTTTTGTAAATAGCAAATTTCCACTTTCATTAAAAAAGTCCCATTTTCCCCTTATTGGACATTGTAAAATGTGATTAAATTTCAAAATATCCATTAAAAGAGTTTTGAAGTAATTTTAGACCCATTACTTCATTGAAACATATTAATTTCCAACAACCAAAGCTCTGGAAAGTGCATTTTTTACGTAAACTCCGAACAAAAGATCAATTTCATACATTCAGATGTAAAAATACCGATTTATGATCAAAATGACAACGAAATGGATATTCAAGTGTTCGTGGACTCCCATTATTTTCACGAAAAAATAGCAGTTTTTTAAGACCGAAATGTCGTTAGAGGTCTATTTCACGTGTTTTCCGAACAAAAACATCATTTTCAGTGAAAATAGAGCAAGTTGAAAAATTCACTTCAATCCAACCTATTTTTCGACCATGAAATGCCCTCAGATCGCATTGTGACCATTTTTAATCGATTGATCGTCGAAAATTGAGCGGATATGGTCTTTCGTGAGCCTTTCCAGCCAGTCAATGCGTATTTTTGGCAGCAATTTCATCGTAGAATGCGACTCTTCGTACAAATTCCGTTCATTGATGAATTGCCTATGCCCAGAACTTCGAAATACGAATTTTCCCGGATATGTGGCATATGCCATTTTGTTGGTATGGTAGCCGGCTATAAACGCTCAGTTTTTGGTAAAACATTGTCGGGCTGATTTTTGAGAAATCGCGTTTGGTGTGAAATTAAAGGGGGTCGATTTTTCATAAAAATCGACTTTTTTCTTTTATATCACATAAACATTGGCATGTGTGTATGGAACTTTTTGAAGGTCTTCTCAAATGATACCGAGCTGATTTTGCCCGATGGGCGTCTGAGTTGATCTAGTGTGCGAAATAAATACTTGAAAAAAATCTTATACATGCAGGCTAGTGAAGCCATAGCCAGCTCTCCTGTAATGCAAATGTCAATCTGAGGACGGGTTTCGATGTGACCCGACACCAGCTACAGCTTGGGCATATCGGCACCGGAATCTGTGGGGGTCTAAAAAGTTTCCGGACAAACGAACGAACGGACGCACAAATCAAAACTTTCATAAAAAATCAAGATCAAACTGCCAATGCCCATATCTTTTTCGTTTTTGGCTCAATCGGGGCACTTAGACCGGCGTTGAAAAGGTGGCGAGGAGGAGCTTCTTCGTACCCCCTTCGTAAGATATGGGTATAGATTTGAAAATTTATCGAAATTTTCCAACCGCTATATTTTTGCCTAGACCACACTTTAGGCATGAAGGATATGGTGTTTCCGACTATTTGGGCCAAGACCTTTCCAACGGTACCCAACATGCCGGGGCCCAAATAGTGCCCTGGGAAAATAGCATATTTACTGTATATATACTCGTGACGCAAATACTGGCATTTTCGTGAATTGCCGAATAACGTGAATCCCTATATACTATATATCGCAAGTGAATTGCTTACGCGCTACGCGCAAACGAAATCATACCTCGGCCAACTTCGATGTACCGAATATAGGTTTTCACGTTAAATATCGAGTGCACTGCATATATGATGCTTCGGCAATTCATGAATCGCCAAAGCAAGTGAAATGCTGAATCCACGAGTATGCCGACAAGTCCGCTGCTTCATTGAGTTATTGTAAACGCAATTGGATAGAACACTCTAAATTCAAAAAATCTTAACTTTTTTTCAACTTTCGCCGAATGCTATATAATTTTAACGGTGGAACTTTTAAAGCTGAAAATTTGGAATAATGTGCGAAATGTCCATTACTTTCCAAAAATCATCGACTCTATTTAGAAAAAACGTTTTTTCCACTTTTTATTGCGTTTGGTGCGATGGGACATATGTGTCCCATTGGTCGGTAAAGGTAAATAAATACCCCGTATTTCCCTGTATTTTGGCCATTATTCGCGAATTTTCAAACACAAAAATTTACAAAAATATCATTAAATTCGTGATTAAATGGGCACAACAAAGCACAATTCAAACCATTTTCGGTTCAAAACAATTCTGAATATTTTAAAAACGAAAAAGATTTTACACGTAGTTCTTATGGGAGACATATTTTTTTCCATACAAAGGTAGTTACCGTTACCGACCAATGGGACATATATGTCCCATCATTTTTTTCATATTTCTAGTTAAAAATATTAATTTTTGATAACATTTTTATTATGGTTTTTGGTGTCGCTGAGCACGAATCTGCAATCAGAATTGCAAAATTCCCATCCGTTCGATCTTGGTTGTCAAAAGGTTAAACTGGTTTTCATCTAAAATCGACTGATTAATATTTTTCTAAGCAGCAACAAAGGTCATTATGAATTTTTGCCAACCGCTTGGGATCGGATTCATTTCGAATTTGCTGAAAAGGTAAAAAACCAAATTGACTCATATAATTTCGTCGTACTAGCCGTAATCTCGTAATACCGCTATGTGCTAAAAAAGTCGTTGTTTTTGCTGTTCTCCGCTTCTCACTTCCTTCGACACATATTGACGTCCTCATATAATCTCGCCAGTAAATTTTCATGTCAGTGTTTTCGGAAGCGAATTTAGATCGCAACATTTCGACCAATTCCATTATCCCAGTCAATAATTAACACAACGTTTTGTGTAAAATGGGCCATTGGCCCATCCCGAACAAAAAAATGATATTTTCAAAGCAAAATCCATGAAAAACGTAACTTTTGTTCGAGAGGTACAGTATATGGCCACTTTTAAAAAATTTTGACTGAAAAGAATCCCCATATTTTCGAGAAAAAAAAACTTCGCGCCAATACACCATCCATGAAAAGCCTATATTTAGGGATTTTTTTGGCCAAAAGTTGATTTTTTCAGAGTTTAAATCGAACCTGTCAAGCGTACATTTTTTCGTGGTTTTTGCGATCGCTGAATGTGTTTCGGTAAGATGAATCATATTTTTCAACCATTCAACGACAGTCATCATTGATGACTCATCAATGATTTAACTACTAAACTAATAATAATAAAACTATCGAATCAGGTAATAATTTTCATAAAAAAATGCCATTCAAAAGTACCTTCAAGTAGATCAACAAACTCTGCATCTGATGAGTGATAGGAAATTATTGAATTTATTTTACCAAAACTAGCTTACAGAGATGACATCAAGTAGATAGCTCTGAATTTTTAAACGATTTCATTAACTTGAATCTTTCAAACTGTCTAAAAAGAAAGAAACTTTACCTGACACTTTCAGGCTGAAAGCTATAGCTTTCAGTAATACCATTCAAATGTCGTAAAATACAAAAAATCGATTTTTTTTTTATTGAAGTCTTTATTTAGATTTAACTTTACAAAATTGCATCAATTATTTGCATTCCTTTTGATGAGTGGTTTTTGTTTTTTTTTTTTATTAAAACATAGACATTACATTTTCATAACGAAAAATAACTTTGGCACTGAATATATCGATAGTTTTTCATCAAAAGTGGTGTCGTTGCGAGTTTTACCTAGATTTCACGAAACATTCAAACGCAGAAAAGAAAAACTAATTACACGTGAGTTACATATAGAAAACAAATGGGAAAAATGTTGAGTTTCTCGAAATTGGTGTAAAAGAAAAGAATTGTGCGTGGTTCTTGATTGTTTATATTTGATCGTTGGTTTTGATTCTTGATCGTTATGTGCGTTCAAAAAAAAGAAGACACAATTAATTTTCAAATGTGAAAGAAATTGTTTTTGGAGATTCATCTCACCTAAGTTTTCAATGGAGCTAATATCAATATTGGGTTCATGGGTTCGATTCTGAGACAAAGTATAGAAAAATATACAACAATTTCTCAACCACTGTTCACACAATCTTACGCATCGTAAAATTTATATAAATCCAACTTAATATCTATCATATTTGATTTTTTATTATTCGGGAAATAAAAAAAAAAGAATTAATTTTTCTTAGAATTCATCATGTCGTGTTAATGCTTCTCCAAAATCGGTTGCTTGTGACCCAACAAACAGATCGTATTTATCTAAAATTTCATCTTTGGTCAATTTACTGTCGGCATCTGTATCGGCTTCGTAGATAAGGTGTCGAGCTTCGGCTTCTGAATGATCAAAATCGGATGGAATGATCCAGTCGCGCACTTCATCGTTATTCATGTATCCATCATGGTCCTTATCACGGAAACTGGCAAATGTTTCACGCTCATTTTTCACCCATTCCGGTTCTTCTTCGCCTTCTTCGACGCCAACAAACATATCACCAATGTATTCATTTACAGATACCTTGCCGTCTTTGTCTGTATGTGTGTGTCAAAATAGAAAGAAAGAAATCGATTAAACAAATTTGTAAGTCAATTAGATTCCTAAAATTAGCAGTCAATTGAATTTAAGAACGAATAAACTCGGATTTGAAAAGCATCGATTAAAATCTCATTAAAATGTATCGTTTCAATGGAACATGAAGTTCATTTTTCAATTCTAAATGAGCATACTTATTCAAATTCATTCGTAACAATGAGAATCGAAAATGCATAAAAAAACAACAACAGCCGATTCTATAATCTACCTTTGTCGATATCTTCGAGTGTTTCGGCAACAACAATATCGCGCATGTGTTCACTTTCTTCGGGATGTAAAAATTCGACAAATTCGGCGCGTGTCAAATTGTCATCACCATCACGATCGGCAACACTCCAGCGGCGTCGATCGCGTGACAACATTGCCTTGTACGATAATCCACCGTCATCTTTTTCCAAATCTTGTGGGTCCATGTCATCCATAAAACCGTACACGGTTTTGCGGTATGTCTGAAATGTGAAATTGAAAGCAAGAGTTAGTCGAATGACGACACAGTTCGTTTCGGTTCTTTTTCAATTGGAAGAAAGTAAATGCCATGATAAGGAGGCTCGGTTTGGCAGCATGAGATAAGCAAGTGGGTGAACAACATTTGTCGCATACAACAACAACAACAGGGAATGAAAAAAAAGTCGGTTCATTTTTTGTGATTAAGCGTATTTTTCAATATAGATTTTATTGTTTATGAGAGACTATCAATTTTTGATTCTTTTTGCTTTTGCTTTTGCTTTGAAGGCCATTTTTTCCTCTTCTGTTTGGTCCTTATTTTTCGGTTTGGTTCTTATTTTGTACCGTTGTACTCTTTTTGTAGAACAAAAAAAAATCGAATCTAATTCGAGGATTGGTGAAAATATTTTAGGGGGTAGGAACACAAGCGCTTGAGACGAATTCGTACGAATATTCGTGAATTCTTGTGATTGTGTTTACGAGACATTCGCAGCGCAGTGAGTGTACAACAACAATAACAAAGCCACGAACGCATGAATATATGCGAATACAAATGAAACAACTTGTTCCTAGCCCCTAGAAAATATTTGCAATGACTTTAAATGTTCGCAAGGCGAGAGAGAGAGAGAGAGAGAGAGAGAGAGAGAGAGAGAGAGGGAGATAGAGATAAGTGATCGCTTTTTTGCAAGAATATTATTTCTTTAAATGCAATTAGATTCTTGTTAAGCTAATCACACCATATAATTAAACAGTGAAATTGCTTTATTTTTCAACGTACACATCATGCATTAATCTAATCAGTTGCTGTCATTCAGCGATTATAAATTGTGCTGTGTCATGTCATCAGATATTTTCCACCCAGATACTTCGCTGATTCGATTCACTTTGAATTCAATTCATAATCATCTGTTTTCATTCTTTTCCATTCGTATATATCCTTGTTTTATTTATTTTTTTCTTCGTTTATTATTTTCAATTTGAATATATATATTATTATATATATTTACAAAAAAATAAAATCCATATTACAATCGAAAGAGCGAGAAAATAAAAACGAACAAACAAATTTAGTTTAGTTGTATGCAAATCAAGATTATTTCATTTTGAACGTACGTATTATAATTTAAGGCAGATTTGATGTGCAAAGCAGCACAGCCGACTATCATATATCGTTTTGTTGATGATTGTTTTTGGTTGAGGTGTGAATTGATTTGAATGAATTAGTTGTGGATGTGTTTGTGTGCGTGTGTGCGTGTGCGCCGGATATGCGATTGAGTGTTCGGTTCACAGGCTTTTGGTGATGTTGTTAAATAGTCGTCGACCCCACCATGATTCCAAATCGAATGGTCCGAAATCGTCGAGAGCCGGACTTGGTGGATCGTTATGATAAATGACTTTCTTATTAGCATTGAAACCATTTTTTCGGCCATTTCTTCGGATCGATTCACTGGAACTGGCCGAACTCGTTCGATGTGTCGATGATGACGATGATAATGATGATGATGATGATGGTGATGCTGATCCTTTTGTTGGTGCTGTTGTCGTTTGTGTTTCAGTGGCATCGTCTTGTTCAGGCACTGATAGAACATTCCACGAGTCGCGTATATATCGAATCAATTCCTCATACTGTGGCGATGGCACAGGCTGTGGCTCTTCATCTTTGAAGCAGGCAATGCGTACGGTGCCATTTTTGTATGAACTATTGCTGCGATTCGAATTCGATCGGCGATACTGTTGAAATACCGGCTTCGCACAATTTATATCCATGCCATTATCACTGTTTGACAGTTGGCCCGTGCTGCTGCTACCGCCACTGCCACCACCCGATTTCCCACTCGATTGCTGTGCATTATTCACTTTTATCTTGCGAATCGTTTCGATTTTATCGTAATTTTGTGACAAACCCGTACGTGTTTTCGCTACTAATTTGCTTGGTCCTTGATTCACCGTATACATGATATGTGTGTACTTGATTTGATATTGTCAATTTGAAATACTTTCGGTTGGTGCCACGAATCGAATATCGTTGTGCTCAACTCATGAATGATTTATAGTGATTTTTGTTTCAGCTAATTTATCGTCGTCGTCGTCGTCGTCGTTGTCGTCGCTGGCGTTTCTTGTGTTATTGTTTTTGACTTGCAACGGTTAACGTGTTAATGACCATCAATTTTTTAAACCATTTCTTTCTGGTTAGCACACGCACTATTCTTATTTTCCTTTTCTTATTGGAAAAATTGTCTAATATCTTCCACACACTCGGAGTGTTTTTCGCAAAAATCCCAAACAAACAAAAAAAAAACTCTATTCGATTATATAACACGAATTCTCCGCGCAATACGTTTAACTTCGACTTGATACATGAAAAAAACGCAACGATTGCTCAATGTGTGTTCTTTCTCTTTCTCTCGGCACAATGTGACTTTTTCTATTTATGGTTTTTCTTTGGCCAGAGCGTTTTTTTTTTCTTACGGTTCGAGGACAAAGAAAATCACCAACAGATTCGAAAAGAAACGGAACGAGCGAACCCAATGATTTCGTCACATTTACTGCCAATTGGCGAATTTCTTATGTACAATTTTTCAAGCGGTCTCTCGTTTTTTTTCTACTTTTTTTCACAAGTTTCGCCGTGTGCTAAGAAACTCAACTGACAGTGCTCATTCATTCCGTCGCTCTACGGAGAGTGTTCGTGTAGCCGAGAGACAGACAGAGACCAAGACATACGAAACGGTTTCATGTGACATACTACACAACCGTAAGACATTCACCCATGCGATATCAATGTCTTTGTTTCCTTTTCACTCACTCTCCTTCTTTGACTCTTGCTCTCTCATCGAAAACTATGTACGCAAAGCCATGTGTGAGGCACACCGTACGAGAACATGCTTAGAAAAGCAAACACAAAGGCAACAACGACACTGCAATATCATTCAATTTTTGATGTTGTTCCGTTGATGTGTCGTGGTATATCGTGTGTTCGTGCGCTACCAATTTTCAATATAATACGCAAACACCAACCAAATCAGCGTTGAATTTTGACGGTATTCGTTACTCGGATTTAGTTGTTTATTTGTATTTTTAGCCGAGGTTTTTTTTAGAACCAACTCTCGCAAAACATCACATTTAAACACATGACTGGTGTACTAAACTTTAACTGATGTTATCTCTCGCTCGTTCAGAGTAAAATGCTTGTGAATTGTACCGTTTTGACGAACCAAATGTGATTTTCATCAAACGAACACTTTTTCAATCGACATTTGAACGATTTGCATCGATTGCTTTTGATGGTTTGAACAGTGTTTCAATTGTTGTTCATTTGAATAGTTTTTTTTTGTTTCTTGTTTTGTTGAATGATTTGAATTTGAATTTGTTGATTTGAATCGCTTTTGAACTGACCCTTTTTTAGCTGTTCAAATAATAAGTTTTTGTTATTGTGACTTTGCATTGAACTTGAATCGTTTCATTCTGTTTGATGAACAATTCCATTCACTTTGATTTTTTATGAAACAACTTTTTTTGTTCACCGAAATGTGAGCCAATTAATAATTGTGATTTTGAAATGGAGCATACACTTGATACTCTTATCATATTTCATTCAATCGCCGGACATCCGGAGTTCCAAAACGATGCCAAAAACCGAACCATGTCTCGGTGCCAACGAGACCCGAATTCATTGGATTTTAAATACAAAAGGATTATGGTCAAACACCATACTCACCTCCCAGTGTAGCTTTTCAGCATTATCTGGATTATGCTGTTTCCACTGTCGATTCACGTCGTCTTCGATGTAACGGCGTTGCGTGAACGAAATCCAATTCTTCAATTCGGCCATATCCACGAAACCATCCTTGTTATCATCGATTCGATCGACGATCACTCTGAATTTACACGAAAATACAATCAAATAAATATCAGTTGGTAGGTGGGTAGGAAATGAATGAGAATGATATTTTGAATATTCAGAATGGAGGAAAATAAGGTTTTGGTTTGAGAAAAAAAAATCAAATATCAGAGAAAGTTAGAGAAAATGAGAGAAAAGTAGAAAATGACCAGAAAGACAAGAAATATCAAGAACATAATCAAAAATATGTTCATTTCTTGATGCATTTCATTGCAACTAAACCAAACATAACTAATGCAGTACCAGTAACTATTAAACCTTTAATGAAGAAAAAAAAACACGAAAAAGTACTGCTGCTAAAGTCCGCAATTTGAACGAATATCATTTGTCTGACACAAAAATTAGCGACGAATTATGCGTGGTTTAATCGGTCACCGGTTGAAAGTAAAATAGCCGGTGGTGCATACGCTGCAATTGCGATTAATCTGTTTCGTGCACGCGCGTGTGTGTGTGTGTGTGCTTGCACATTTGAAATTAATTTTGATTAAGTCATTAATCCGGGCGATGGCACGTGAGCATTGCGTTGGTGGTAACCGACATACAAAATATTGGCCGATTGCATCACAACATTAATTTTCCAAATTGAAATAATTTTTCTGTTCTAATTTCTATCTGTGTCAATTGGCTAATGCAACAAAGATTTGATGGCAATTTTTTTTCTTTCGCGCTTCACTGCGTGGCGTTCGTGTAATGAAGAAGAACATGGAATTGGATTTTTTTCGGATTTGTCGAGATGACACGTAAGGCAGTATTTAGAGTTCTAATTGAAGACGTTTTTTCTATTGAATTTCCCCATCTTCATGGAACCCAATTAGGTGCGTTTTGATTTGCATCAATCCAGAACGTTAAAAATTGAAGCATTTAAAAAAAAATAAATTAATGATGTAAAGATGATTTTTGTAGTCAAATTTAATGTTTTTTGGGGTTACTTTTGTTGACGATTCTTTATGTTTGTCCAACATCCAAATGGCAAAAGTGTCTTGAAGTAAATTTACCATTCTCAAGCCATGGAGAAATATTGACTGGCTTCATATCAAATTTCTTACCGTTAAAAAAACCAAAACTTGATAATGTTTGTAACTGAAAAAGCAAATCTAAATCGAAATCAACTTACCCAAGACGACGACGACTCTCTTCTGGTTGCAATTGATCGAATGTTTTGGCTTGATCTTCACCTAAGAATTGCTCGTGATCGTATTTGTTGTCATGGTTTGGATTTTGTAAATGATTTGTATGCACTAAATGGTCTAAATTGTGGTGTTGTGCGGCGGTTTCGTCTGGTTTTGGAATAGCCGTGGCAAACACCGTACAAAACAGTAACAAATAGCTACTAAAAAGCACTCCATAAATCACCATTTTGCCGAGTCTTTTTTTTCGTTGATTTTTTGCTCAATAAATTTACAACAAAATATTTCGCGTGACCAAAATCAAATCTGAAAACAAACACAACAATGAAATAAGTCAAAACCGAAAAAAAATACGAAAAAAATTGAATTGAATATGGATTCAAGTGACCGACTTCTAGACCGAGAACCAACTGTACGAAACGCACAATTCGAAATAGTACAAGGCGAAGTAATCAGCTCGAGCGTTGATAAGTTAATGTTGAAAATTAGAAGAAAAAAAAATACAACGACGCTTGTGTTTGAGTTTCTTGTTCCAAACCAAGTGAAATTTTGTGCACACAGCAAGAAAAAAAATGTGCCGCTTAGCCGTTATGATATTAAGGAATTTCATACATATGCATTACATCAATGTACATTTTATGCTTTTAGCACGAGTCCGTCACTATTCTCAGTCGGTTTTTTTCTCTTTAGTCTCCGTCTTCCTTCTTCTTTTTCCATTTATGGAAAACGCTCGTTTTTTCCGCTAAACACTAATGTGCGGCGCACAGTGAATACGTATTTGATGCCCATTTGAACTGTGCAACAATAATTTTACGGCCACTGCTGTGTCTCAACTTTGACATGCTTTCCATTTTTACGCCATTCCATGCGTTTTCATTTGATGTGTGATCTCGCCCGATTTCACACATTCCGCGACTGTTTTCTAATAAGAACCGATCAGTAGGGTTCGGAGTGAAAGGAAGAGAGCTAGAGATAGAGAGCGACGGACGATGAAAGTGAGAAAAGGAGAAAGAGTTGGAGAGAAAGAGAGAAAAAGAGTTGGAGATGCATATGTAGACAGAGTCTGCTTTTCTATCCATAGAACATTCCAGACGTTTTTTCCGGAGTGTATGTGCTCTTTTGTAAGTGATAAATGAAGCGCTTTTAGGAAATGAAACATGAAACGCGTAGCACATGGACTACGTGGTCGAATCACAACAAACCGAGGATATTCTTATCGCATTTTTTTTCCTGCTGCTCATTTTTGAATCACTTTATCATTATGTAATCGTGATCTCAATGGGAGACGAAGACAATTTACCGAATAATGTGATAGCAACAAAAAAATAATGGAAATCACCATTTTTGATAATTATTTGAAGGATTTTTTTCAATCTTCATTTTTTAGTTTCAATTTTCAACTGGAGCAGCGTATCATAATTCGAGTTTGATGCCATCGCATTGATGAGAGTTTCAGTAGATTTGGTTTGTTTTTATTCGGTCGGTTTACATTTTCAACCAACTCACATTCGTTATTAAAATTAAAAAATTGGCCAAATAATTGCAATATTTCAATTCTAATGCAAATCTGATATTCAAAATGTATTATAGTCGTATTCGAGAATATAAGAGAGATGACATGACTTTTGAAGAAAAGCAAAAAAAAAACTACAGATTTTGGATCAAACTTTTGATTCAGCAATTCTGAAAATCGATTCCTGAATGAATGTATTTGGTTTTCTTCTGGAGACGCCTACTTTGAATTCTAGAAAATTCGTATCTATTCCGAAACCCGATTCTATTTAAAACACCCGATTGGAGTCAGTCAAGTATTGCAAGTGCATAAGTTCCTCGTCGTATTCACAAACAAAAAGCCGGTACATTCAAAAGCCGCACATCCAATGCAAGAACATCGGATGTAATATGCAACAAATTGACAGTGTCATGCACACTATTCGCCAATTTCGTATAAGATTCAATCTATTTTTGACTGAAATGGGATTGTACTCAAATTCCAGTTTCAATAGCGCTGACCCAGTACAAAATCCCGGTCACGCTCACACAACACATCCAATGATTTTTTATTCTTTGTCTTAAAATCCAATAATCTCAACTCACCATTCATTCGTTGCTGAATTTTGATGAATGTTTGTATAAACAATGATTTCGCGTGGATTCACTTCGTTCAACCATTCACAAAATTCGTTGAAAAAATGCTCAAGTTTTTGACGAAAAAAAAAACAATAATTCAAAGCACAGCTTTCACTAAATAATAATTCAATCACACAATTGTTTCCACATCGACATCGTAAACAAATGGCAAATCTTTTACGGAAACAAATCATTTGACAGTATTCGACGGATGCGTTCACCAATTTGTCTTCGATTTGAAATTAATGCTCAAAGAGAAAATAGAAAAAAAAAAATTAAATTGATATTGAAAATAAAAATTGAATGACAAACAAAAATTGTTTTTTTTCATTTAATTCAAATCAATTGAATCGTAATAAAATATCGTATCAATCATTAAAAAAAAATGTAAAGTCCGTAATTGGAATGCGTTCAAATGGTCGAATGTGAGTGATAGAATGGATATGTCAATTCTATTACAAATTCTGGTGGTGTGTTTGTTGAACAGGGGGCGCCATCATGAGAGCGTAGCTGAAGTCACTTCGTATGTTTGACATAACCTCTCTTTTCGATCTGCTTTGTTCAAGTTGACGGTATGTGCTCTTTTCTGGTGTCTTGAAAATTTTCCAAATTTTCCCAAATAATTGCATAAATAGTGAATTTTCTGCATTTATTCGGTCGATTGAAGCATCGATGCAAATCAATAAAGTGAAGTTTTACCGAAATATTAACGAATTTTATGGGAATTTATTGAATATTTTACGACAAAAATTTGTCTTAAGTCAATCTGCGCTTGACACGTGGTTTACATACAGCATTTATACACAAGTTCAAACCGATTTCCACTGTGTTTATTGATTTTTTACCGATTGCTTTGCGAAAAATTTGCGATGAATTTGGGATTTTATTGAGAAATGTGTACGATTCGATCGAGTGACTAATGAAATTTTAACTCTTTTTCAGGCTAACACAACAGCAAAATGACAAACTCAAAAGGTTATCGTCGTGGTACCCGAGACATGTTCTCGCGTCCATTCAGAAAGCATGGTGTTATTCCACTTTCAACATATATGAAAGTCTACAAAATCGGCGATATCGTTGACATCAAGGTAAATATTACGAGAAACAAGGCGCTTTAAATTTTTCTCGTCGAAAATCAATTTTTCTAGTGAAAGTGTGTGTGTGATACACAACGTATAGGATGGTCAACAATGGAATCGGCTATTGCAATCAAGATATTATCATGGTTGAGTCTTTGTGCAATGTAACCGAAAAACCCATTGAATCCATCTATTCCGATTGTTGTGCCATATTCAAAATTGATTTAACTTTTTCCATCGTCTTCTAATGCGTTCTTTCTCTCTCTCTTTTCTCTCTTTCTTACCGTTTCCAGGGTAATGGTGCCGTTCAAAAAGGTATGCCATACAAAGCTTATCACGGTAAAACTGGTCGTGTGTACAACGTAACACCACATGCTGTCGGCGTTATTGTCAACAAACGTGTACGCGGAAAGATTTTGCCAAAACGTATCAATGTCCGTATTGAACACGTTAAGCACTCAAAATGCCGTGAAGATTTTTTGCGCCGTGTCAAGGAAAACGAAAATTTGTTGAAAGACGCCAAAGAAAAGGGCAAATGGGTATCGTTGAAACGCGAACCAAAACCACCACGTCAATCACGCGTTGTGAAAAATCCACCAACCCCAATCGCATTGGCACCAATTCCATACGAATTCATTGCCTAAGTTAAAAGCCGTTTACAGTTTTTAATTTTTACAATTCTTAATTTGTATGTGAAATGAAAATGGAAGAAAAAATAATAATCAACAACAAAATGCGAAAAATATAAACAAGTGCACATTTTTTATTATCGATTGTGGCAAACACACATCCCAAACATACACAATGTCAACCGTGTTCAATTCATTTGCAGCGCCTTCTTTTTCTCTTCTGCAGTGAGATACATTTTTTTTCAGGTTAAATCTTTTGACATCGATAGGTGATACACACTGAGTACATTGACTTTTTCTTTTCGCCGGTGGATGGATCTGATTTCCTTTTGAAATGAAAATTCGGAAAATTCGCACGATTCAAAACTCAAAGTCGAAATATGAAGAACAAAAAATAATCCCAATTCAAAGCCGACATATTCAGAGGCAAAATACAAAGCAATAACATTAGGATTTTTTTTTATCGCCATCGGATGATTTCGATGATCTGATTAAAATAACCGATTCGGACTTGTTGGTTAGAAGAATTTCTTGTATAATTTAATAGAAGTAGCTTTGTCTTATATTAAACACTACTGTATACACGTTGACAGTTATTCATGCTTGTTGATAACATTGAACTAGAATTGAATATTAATTCTCCAGAAAAATGTGTATTTTCAAGAGAAATGAAGAAAAAAAAAATGATGAAATATACGCCAAAGTGTGAAAACGACAAAATCATTATCTATTGGCGTGTTTACCGAATGAAGTATCACTTTTTTTTTAGCAATTTTCAACATAAACACTAATCATTTTCTCTGGAAAGAAATAAATAGCTCACATTTTTTTTACAACCAAAATCTTCGGAAATCTCTATCTCTTCTCAATGGTGAAGCTAAGAAAAAAAAATAGCATTGTGTATTTTGTCTCTGTGATTCTTTGGTATAAAGACAACACGATGCAATATTTTTCAAAATAAACTAAACAACCGCCACTCAGAGAGGTAGATTCGTTTGAATTGGTCTGAAAATCATATTTTTACTTTTCAAAACCGATTGTCAAGTCATTGTGATTCTGTCGATAGTTGTGCTTTTACAAAATACATTTCAACATTATATACAAATGTGAGTGTAAAAATATCATATTTTTCAATCTATAAATCGAATAAAAACGATTCAATTCTGGTTTTGTATATTTGAAAGTATCAAATTAGTGAACAAAAATTCAACAAAATCTACACTTAAAACACATTGCATAAACTGATTTTTCTGAATGTAGCAAATTTGCCGGTGGTTTTATTGTAAACAAAGTTTGTTCAAGCATAGCATCGAATGGCTCAATGCGTAAGCGTTTAGATTTATGCAATTTGATTGATAAATATAAAAAGGATCGCGTGCCGATGTTTCTTTGTCACATTAACCGTTTGTAGTAACAGGCAAAAGGAGCACATTTGTCTGTGTGAAAACCACCGTTTATTGAGATCGCGTTCATTTATTTGTTCTTTGAGAGTTTCGCCATAGTATGTTGTTCTTAAAAAAACGTATACTCAAATTTATGTATTTTTCCAGAAAATATACGTGATAATACCTGCTAAAAATGAGTTCATTGCCATTGGTATCACTATCTAAGGAGTTCACCAATACAAACAGTATACTTGAGATGACAAAAAGTCTCTACTTGAACGATGTTAATGCAAACGTACGGTTTTTATTCGTTATTTATGGCCAAGAGATACTTGTGCCGGCTCACAAAATAATATTAGCAGCATACAGCCCAGTGTTCAATGCAATGTTCTTCGGTTCTCTCAAAGAAACTGGCAACATCCACATCAACGACGTATCAATCGATAGTTTTAAAGATTTCCTCAGCATTTTCTATCTGGACACAGTGAAAATTACCAGTGATAATATTGAACAATTCACATATTTGGCTGACAAATACGATGTGCCGAAAGGTATTGAAATGTGCGAGCGATTCCTCTTGGACAATTCAAGAAGCTTCGATATTTGCGTATTGCTTGAGTTTGCGACCAATTACAATCTACGCAAACTCCGTGAGAATTGTAGGTGCAAACCTGCCGAGGTATTCGAATCGAATTATTTCATTACCGTCACTTTGGATATGCTGAGAACGATCTTGCAATTAGTTGACTACAAGTGTTTTGAAGTACATGTATTTCGTGCATGCATGAGATGGGCTAAAAATGTATGCAATCATGATGGTATTGATCCAACAGACGCACCAAATCTGCGCTTTGCATTGAAGGACTGTTTCTATTTGATTCCGTTTCTGTCAATGAGATTTGCCGCTTTTCTCGATATTGTTTCCTCAAACCGAACACTCTTTTTGATCGACGAGATTATTGACATCCAGAATTTTATTCTGTGGGGCAAATCAACCGATATCACCAAACAATTTGCAAATAGGAAGAACGAAGCTGCAACATTATCCTGGTGCGAGGAATTGCTAATCAATTTCAAAATTCATCCGGTACAAGATGATGGTGCATGGCTTGACATTTATAGCAAACAATACACAACATTTAGCTCGTCATACAGATTATTGTTTGGTGGTTTCAAATTGCGTCCGATGAAGAAACAACCTGGTCCAAACCGGTTGCTAAACGGAGACATTCACATTACAAAACAAATGGACTGTTCAGACATATTGATTGATAAAATTCAATTGAAGGTTAATATTGATAATGATGCTACTCAACTACCTTCTGTTATGTTTGACAAACACATTGTCATCATACCAAATGAGAAGTACACCATTTTCATCGATTTTGGTCGTAATGCCATTTGTACAACTAGTGGCATGCTCAGACTGTGGAAATATTTTGGAGGTGAAAATGAAACCAGTTCTACTTTACAAAACGACATTCGTATCGATTTACATGATGATTACACCAACGCCATGTACAACATCGTTTCGCAATTGCACTTCAACCGGGTTTAAGGAAACGAAAGACAGTGAAATCGATTGGCATTTTATTGTTATAGTATTGTAGAATAATTACCCGGGTGGACGCGATAGGCTCTGATGAAAGCCTACATTCGTTCGATAAAGCCTCATCAAACAAACGTAGGCTTTCATCGAAGCCTATCGCGTTCACCCGTGTATTTTCAAACCTTTTATTCTCATTCTTCCTTCCTCTATCAAGATTCTTCGAACTGAAAATCTCCATGTTTTACTCGTTTTTGTATCCTTTTCACATTGCCCACATTGAAGGTGATGTTAAGAATAGATTTCACGATTAGCACCATTTAGACTATTATTCCTCTGCTGGAATTGTGTTAGGCGAACGCTAAATTCTGATGCAGAGCTTCTGATGAACTGAATTTATTATTATATAAAGGTAAGGATTATTTTGCGAAAAAGAAAAAAAAAGCTGCAAAAAAAAACCAAGTTGGTAAGATTTTTTTTTAAATGAGATCATTCTTGTTGTAAGAAATAACGTAATAATTTTGTTCTGATTAAAGACTTGCTCATGTATGAATTTTGCTGTTTCTTGTTGACATGCCCACTGTTTTTTCCTTCTTTTTTGCCTCATTTTTTAATTATTCATTTTTGGCAAAGCATCTGAAAATGAGATTCAAGGCCATTTCAACGCTATTATGTAACAGTCACAAAAAAATTCCCATGCCAAAAATATTCATAAAAAAATACATACAATTAAACCATGATATGTGCTAGAGATGGAATTCTAAAGGTAAATGTAAAAAAAACATATTCTAATATCCAAGAAAAAAAAATTTGATAATTTTTTTCCCGTCAAATTAAACAGCTACGTAAACATTGTTCATATTTTTCCATCTTTCAGAATTTTATTTGACAAAAAAAAATTCACTATAAAAGATTCACGCATGATTCAATGAAATGTTTGTGTTGGCTGAATCTATTGAACTGCACGATGAATCGGTCGATAGGTAATAAATTACAGTTCGTGCTTAGTTTTTTGTTTTTCTCTCTTCATTTCAATTCCAAAAATTGAAACTCAACAGATAAAAAAGAAATTATTGATATATTTCCTCATCTGGACAAGTATGTGGCGGTTCATTTGTGATTTATTTTGTTTCTTTCGTCTTTTTGAGCACATACACACCATTGCAAGCAAATTCCGTCTCATTCCGAAATAATTTCGGAGCGGATGTGCCTATTTTCACGTGCCACAATCTCTCGATTGATAGAATAAAATATAACCAGTTTCGGATGATTTTTGAATATCTGAAGTTAGTCCATAGAAATCTTCAATCGCTGACGCATCGATTTTCTGTATTGGCGAAAATGCAAAGATATTTTAGTGGACATTGGCAATGGAATGAATGTGTGGAGGTATAAAAACAATGTGACTTACATCGACCATGTCGTCATCGAAAAGTAACCAAAAACCATGACTCTTAACAATACTAATGTAGTGACCACGGTTCGGTCCAGAACCGCAATGTATAACAACAGCCATAAGATCGTACAATCGATCTGGATTCACAGCATCGTCGGACTGGAAAAAAGGCGAAATAAATAGGTTGACATTTAATAGCGTTAAAAAAAACAGAATATTTCCAATATTTGTGCTGGTAAAATAGAGACAGATTTAGCGCCAGACAAATCCTGAATCGTTTAAAAAAAAAACTAAAATACACCCAGCACTCACCGTATTAAACAGTCGTAATTCTAGCGGGAACACCACCCGATGCGATACTTTAATGTGTCTATTATATTGCTCCATATATTTAAAACGTTTTAAATGCAGCGACAAAATCATTGGCAACTTTTTGACGCGCATTCGCTTTTGGGCTTCTTGATAATTACAGCAATTGTCGCATTTAAATTTATTATCACTGCACAGGGTTTCGGTGTTGCTAAAGCATCGTAAACAATGTGTAATGCTAGTGTTTTGATCGACATCGACTTGTAGATCAAAGAAATGCTCATCTTTGCTGCTGACTGTTTCACAATTTAGACAACGTGTTTCACTCGTTAGAGTTCCCTGGAATATTTCATGCACCCATGTTGGTTCCTGAGGTTGGCCATTCGCAGAACCATTACATTCACTACTTGTGCCATTACTTGTACTACCGGCGGCTCCACCGCCTGTGCCACTACCACTGGCAGTGGCACCACCTCCGCTGAAATTCGCCCGAACACTGGCAAAATGTGAACTAGATGATGAAGACGATGATGAAGACGCATTCGCATTTTTCTGGCCACGTTCCGCCAGTATAATCTCATTTATGTGATTGATTAGAAAATTTAAAAATTCATGGGCATCTTGTTGCATATAATTGTCAAACTCTTCTTTCTCCTTTCGTAAGCGTGCGATAAACTTTTTCGGTGCGATTGAACCAACTTTTTTCTTTTGTGTTGCTATGCTATAGAACAAATCGGCTAAACATGACAGTAGCGTTTCTTTGGTTCGTTTATTTTTTGCTTTGTACTCGAGCACCTTCTCTCGGAACGGTTTACAGAAATATAGCGCCTGCAGCACGGAATTACTATAGCACGTATTACCGAACTGTCATAAAGGAAACATAAAGAGAGAAAAGAGGGTAAATAAATTGCAAGTGAATCGAGAACGATGATATTGATATTGATGTTGTTGCACTCACATTGACAAGCCCGAAGTAGTGTTCATTTGGTGGAAATTGGTCAGATCCAATATCTCGTTCCAGCTGCGATATGTTCGTCCCCTGTAAACAAATGCCGAATTTCAATTAAAACCCATCAACACTCACACACTCCGGTCCGACCGACCATCCGAAAAGAAAAACCACAAACAAATCAAAAGGACTTTTACCATCACGTGAAAATTGATGCTGCTTCTGCTGCTAAATGGCACAAATTGCGAAAGCACACACTATCAACAACAACAAAAATACAACAACAACAAAAAATACTTGACGACACTTGCGATAAATTTTTGTTTCGTTTGTTTTTCTCGTCGTTTCGTTTGTTTCTACTTCTTATTCAAAAAAAAAACAAAAAACAAAAACAACTTATGCGAATTTCTCCGAAGCGAAAACCGTTCGAAATGGTGGAATTTTGCTGTTGTTTATTACACCCGATGATTTTGTGTGTGTGCCAACCCACCGAACGTTTTAATTCACTTTGGATGTGTATTTCGTTTCTTTTTTTCGTTGGTCGTTTTGTTTTGTTTTTTTTTTTGGAAATTATTGCTGCGCTCAGCAATATTACCAAAATTGAAACACACAACAACACTCGGCAAATAAGAAAAGATTGCCCATTGCTTCTTCTTCGTTGGAATAAAATCGCATTTATCAATAACACGGACTAAGGAGAGAATGTCAAACAAAAAAAGTTTAATGTTTTCACTTCGGGCCCTTAGCTGCTGCTGCTGCTGCTGTTGAGCTAACGTATGAATGTGTGCGTGTGTGCGTGTGAGTGTGTTTCTATATTTTTTCGATATTGTTTGTTCTCCTTCTCTACTCCTTTTCGTACATCAACGACTACACTTTCGAACAAATGCCAAAAATTCAATTCGCACCAAAAATGCTGCATGAATTTTTGTTCGCTGAATTTCATTAGAATTATGAATAAAATTAAATGGCAACACATTTCATCGTACGAAAATTGATCAAAATTCATTCATTTGTGTGTGTTTTGTGTCTGTCAAGCTGTGTGTTCATTTCAAATGTGTCGTAAGTTTCTCTCACTCTCGCTCTATTTGGCTCGTCGTTCGAATGAATTTCGAATGAATTTCGAATGTTCGAATGTTCGAAAATCATTTTGACATTTCGTTGAGTTGCAGACAATCCGAACGCGACAGACAAACAGACGGAACAACGTGCGTATGTGTGTGATATTTTGACAGTTTTTAAATCAAATCAAATATGATAGCAAAGTTCATTCTGTCTAATGAAAATCTTTTGTAGAAAATAAAAACAACAATCAATAGTGTTTAGTTTAGTGCTTTTATTTGCCGATCCCTTCTTTTGTTTTTTCATTATTATTTCGGTTATTTCTCTTGTTCATCTTGTACTGTAGTTTAATACTAAACAAGGTCAAACACACAGTGTAGATAGTGTTAATTTTCTGTATTGTTTCCGTGGACGCAGAATTTTTTTTTTTTTTGTTATCATTTTGTGATCACATTATGTGATTTATATTGAAAGTGGTTGGCGATTCGGTCATTCACTCTTTCTCTTCGTACGATCAGCACCGATTACTATTGGATACGTGTCGCATCTATTTTCAATTGGATCCGGTTGATGAAAGTGGACGGAATACGCACGAGAAAAAAAAATACATTTTCTATGTGGCAATTGAGAGAGGCGTAAATGCAACAGCTGTTTGCATCCAAATCACGGAGACATCGAGCTGAAATGATGCAAAGATAAAAAAAAAAATCAGATTAAATCAGATTAATCAAAATTTAGTGTGACAAACAAATGTAATAAAAGAAATTACCTGCAAAAAAGAGCATTCCGTGCTTTCATCCCCGGAAACAAAGCAAACGCACAACCAAATTACAAGTGTATAAAATCAAGATAAAAACCAGTTTATATTTCGTGGGCGGAACATACTTTCGTCATATGAATTCAGTTGAATTTTGCATTAGATGTGAATAACATAGCTACGGAAACAATAACAAAATTATTGATAACAAACATTCCAGTCAAATAAAATCAATGTTCAGTTGTTGATTGTTTTTGCTTGGAATTTTCTCCATTTGTACTCGACCCAATTGACCAAGCAGTGACAATTATCAGAAAATGATAATTTTTTGATTTCGATAAATAAAACGAGAAGTTCAACATTTTGCCGCCATGGGCTCCGTAACAGACGGTAAGTTTGGATTCACACTTCTTATCATACCAGGAAAATTACTTTGGAATTGGTCAGCTTTGATGTCTTATGGAAATTTTGGTTATTATGTTTTTTTTTATTGGTTTTTCATGAATACTTCGGTTTCTCTTCGAGCGACAAAACTCAACTGTTCAAGTTCGGTCTAGTTTCTTATGAACCAGAATCATTGTTCCCCGAACAATTTGAACCAAACATGGACAAACAATAATGTTTATTATGATTATTTATCAAAGAATTGCATTCAGACGTTCATATTTGGAATATGGTATATCCCCCAAATTAATTGTGCATTTTCGCACTTTGAACCTTGGCTTTCGCCAAAACTGTCCGGTAAACGTTAAAAAAAATGATTGTCGTTAAAATTGTGACTTTTCTTTATCAAATGTTGTTTTTTTTCTTCTCACAAATACATCGTAAAACTGATGTTGTCTTTTCATCCCGTAACCAAGACATTCGAAACAGCCAGAACTATTCGAAACAGTATAAAGAACAGTGTTATAGTTTGATATTATTTATGGTTGAACAAAACGAAAAAAAAGCCAATTTCGATCTGGGTTTCGATCAAAAACTAATTTATGATTTGATTCAATGTATTTTAGACGAAAGCCAACGGCTTACGACAATGGACAAGACCACCATCGAAGGTTCGTCATCGCGTAATTCTCCGGGCGCTGTGAACAATTTGCAGGCGATCAGGTAAGCACATTTGTTATAATTAAAAAACACATTGTCGCGTTGAACTATGCCTCCGGTTGATATGCGTTGCGTCGGATAGCTTACGACAAAACGGCCGCCCACTTCGATTCGATAAGCTGCGTAGCAACATTGCTAGTGAAATAAAGCTTAACTGAAAATCAAGTACTTTTTCACTTTCCCGACCAATGTTGCGCGCGTTTTCATGATTTGTTTCTAAAACAAGGCCATTGACGTCAAAACACTCATACACACACGCACTCCAGCGAATTACAAGTAAATGAACAAAAACGTTTTAAGTACGCAATTGAGTACTTTGTTCCAAAACACACGATCGCACAGAAATACCACACAAACACACACTGCGAAAGACAAGCCCGCATGTGAAAATAACCACTGATTCGCACCGTATTTGCTATGCTTTTGTTTACTATGCATGCAAAATTCATACACACGGCATGCATACCTGATCGTATTCGATTTACTTTCACTAAAATGATCTTATGCTCCGTGCGAGAGAACTGCTGCTGTTGTTGCTGCCGCCACCACCGACAACTGACTTTCTAAAAAAAAAACCATAACTATTCGGTAGTTTCAGTCGAAACGTAAGCTTAAACGGAGCACAATTCCAATTGGGTTCAGTCGATACATTGGTTCTATTCTCACTGTACTGACCTCGAACGATCAATATGTTAGACAGCCACTTCGACTAATTTCAAGTTTTTGCGCGATTTTTTTTCTCTTCGCTTCTGTTCTGTTGGTGTTGTGCGGTAAACAACAACAGCAACAGTGAACAAATGTATTGCAATATAGGTGTCTTGTGTTGTAACAGTGTTTTTCAGTGCTGTGATTGCGATTTAATCGGTTGCCAATGCGAACGCTTGAGAAGGGTTTCGCACACACTAATCGTTTGCTAATTTTGGTTGTTTTTTTTTCTCTTTTGATCGACTGGTTTGCGGTGAGAGTGAATTGGATATACAATTGAATCACGGGTGCGATTGTGAAAAATTTAAAGATAAATTTTTATGATCAAAAAGCAAACAATGACATTTCAAATTGAATCATATCGATTTTTGAGTTCTATGTGTTGTTGATCCTCGACGAATAGTCATTCGCCATCGAAAAGAGTGTTTGTGATCATCGACTGAATAGTTTTTTTTTTGGTGTGAAATACTCCAGATGCGAGTTAAAAGGTAAGAATATTACTGTTGCGTAGAATTTTAAAACTGAGCGATTTATTTGCTGCAATTTGTAGCCTGCAAAAAAATTGTTATTACCGTAAGAGATACCCAGCATTTCGAATTCTACATTTTGAAACCAGACAATTGTTTTCCATCACAGTCAACATTACGAACACGATAGAAAATTTTAAGTGCTCGGCACAGTACTGCTCGCTACTTGTGCTCTAGTTTATGCCATTTCATTGACTATAAAACCAGATTCGTGGACCGCTTCTTTTCATACGATGCAAAAGACACGGTTTACCAAATTGGTATTCGTAAGACCATACAATTTCAAGTGAATAGGTTCGGCCATATGTGAAAAAGTACAGTTATGCATTCAAAAAACCGCGCGACGCAACAGCTCAACAGTGGCATTTTTTTTTCATTGCACACACTTTTTTCTGCTTTCCATATGTTTGACGTGATCAAAAGACATGGTTCGAAGTGAAACGGTACTATATTGGGAGAAAACATAAAGCCAGATGAAAATTACGGATTTTTTTTGTGGTTATTGAATATTGTTTATGGAATACTGAATGGGATTTAAAGAGAAAGAATCGAGTTTAAAGAGAATGAATGGGATTTAAAAGGAAAAATCACTTGTGATTTTAGTGGAAGAAGCGGTGAAGCTAATTAAAACTGATGATCAAACGATGAACTAATGAAAATTAATGGCTCAGGGCTTCATTTCACTTTCATTGATTTCGATAATGGTCTTTCGCATTTCGAGCAATTGAACATTCGATCCATATGGAAGAAATTCCAACAATTTTTGAGCGAAAATAATAATTAATCCGATTTACCGATCGCTAAAAGTACCGGAGATTTGGATTTTGCAGAGAAATTCGATTTTTTTCGAAATTCAATGCGAAGAAAAACGATTTGGAACGAAATTGTTGCAATTTTTGGAATTTCCGTCCATCACGAAATTTTAACCTTGGACTGGACAACGACTTTTCTCATTCAATAAGAGATTTCTAATATTGAAGTGAACCCTCTATCTAGCTATATAGTTGAAACAACCTGGGGAAACCCCTTGATCGACTACAATTTGAAAGTCGTGATTTCATCAAATTGAACGATAAATTCCAATGATCAAAACAGGATGCGTTAGTCAATGACCAAAGGACAGCAAAATTTAGTCAACGCATTCCGATCAGAATGAAATGAACATTCCGATTGCAACGACCTGATTATATCGTTGAGATTTTTTTTAAGACTTTTAAGTGTTTCATTGTTTGTCCTGTAAATTTGGCCATATGTTGTAGTGTGAAAATGAGTCAATGAATTCTTAGTTGCCATTTGAATGCCGTTAAATACATATTTTAATAACAACAATCGTTATTTATTACTATAGTAAGCCAATTATATTAATGTCATGTCCTCCTAAGCAAATTCACAGACAATTTCTCTCTCTCTTTCTTTCTCTCTCTCTCTCTCTCTCTCTCTCTCTCTCTCTCTCTCTTTTGTTCCAAATCACTGACCTATTGCCATTCCATTTCGTTTTACTTATGTTGCAAATTAAAGTGTTTACTAAACACTGTTTAGTAAACTAAAGCCGAAAATAGTTGAGTAGTTTATTGAAAGGTCACGAATGATATATGGCCTAACGGCACGTACGCATATTGATCATATGATCTATAACCTGTGCACCAATATACACATATCGCTGTAACTATTGAACCAACACTTAACGAATGCACTCGTTTAACTGCAATCGTTATTGGATCACAATAACTTGATTTATCTAATCGGTTGTTCCGAAGATTAGAAAATTCATAAATAAATCACATTTCAAAATAGTTCAATAAAAAAAAAAATTCATAGACTAGATAGCCAAAGTGCGAAATTCATTTTAAGGTTTTGTGAGTGGCACAATTTTGAATTCAGACGTAGACTAAGAAAATCGTTTCTATTTCAAAGCTGAATTTCAGTTTCAATTCCATTTCGCATTTCACTATGTGTTTCCATGGTTTCATCAAATGAAGCGCCAGTCTGGCCGTTTATCAGCAATAGATATACTACCTTTATTATATACGATGGTTCCCACTTCCTCTTCCACATTATGCCGAAATAATGTTGTAAAAATGCCATCTAAACCCACTAAACCCATGTCATCATGAAAATCCCGGATCAACATTGTTCAGTCAACATTCGCATAAAGTCTTCAATTGCTGATTACGTCTTATCGCTTTCGTCTATCTGAGTTCCATTCTTTTTTTCTTTACCAACAATAAAAGACGCACACCGTGCAGTATTCGGATCAGTTGAAGCAAAGCGAAGGAACGAAAAAAAAAAACACAAACACAAATTGTTTCGATTTCATTTCTCTAAGTTGTCAAAGGTATCAACAGTATATCTCTCTCGGCCTATTATGAGTGCAATAAAGTTTTGAATTATTACTTCTTTCTCTTTCCGTTCATATTATTCGTACAGTTTTTGTTCACTCGTCGATTGTGTATGACTTTCGAATGATTTAACGGTTTTAATACTGGAACCGAAGGTAGACAAATAACGTCGTAGTACGACTGCGTAATCTACAATGTATTTTGTCTTTTCTCCACTAATATAATATCAGTGTGTATGTGTGTTTTTTTAGTTGAGAATTTTGCGTTTTTCTTTTCCTTTCTCATTGACTTTGTATGAACCCAATACAGTTTCTTTGTTCGGTAACATATTGGTTCATTCATTAGAGAATTGTTGTTAGTTATTTTTTTCGTCGTTTGGAAATTACTGTCTAAACATTAATCTTCTAGTTTTCATGTGAATTAATTTGTGCATTATTTTTCTTTTGTTTTTGTTTAGCAAAATGGAGGAGCGCCAAAGTTTGTTGGAACGTGTGACTGCATCGGTACGATTGCCAATCAATGGCATGACCTGTCAGTCATGTGTTAAAAATATTGAAGGAAATATTCGAACAAAACCCGGTGTGGTGACTATTAAAGTAAATCTACAGGAAAAAGCTGGCTACATTGACTATGATCCACAAATTACCGATCCACGTCAAATTGCATCTCAAATCGATGACATGGGCTTTGATTGCGAATATTTACCTGATGAAGACGATGAAATTGCGGCTCGCATTGTTGAAATCAATAAAACGAAGGTGGCTAACGCACGTATTTCCATCGATGGCATGCGATGCCAAAGTTGCGTGAAAAATATCGAAGGGAATATTGGATCACAGCCGGGTGTTAAACAGATTAAAGTGAATTTAGAGGAGAAAATGGCCATCGTTGAGTATGATAGTGAGGTGTGTACGGATGAAGCGGTCGCCGAAATGATCAACGATATGGGATTCACGGCAACCGTTGCCAATGACAATGCGATCAAACACGAAAAGACTGACATAATTTTTAGCAAGAAAGGTACATTTTGATTGATTTGAAAGAGAAATGTGGGGTTTTATCTGAGAATTTTTACTTTAAAGTTGAATTTCAATGAAAAAACTGTTCATTTTACACTCATCGCCTTCTTCTAGAAAAAAAATAATTGTTTTTCTTTTCATAACAAAAAAAACTCGTTTAAAAATGACTCAATCCCATATTAATTGCGATTGCCATTTCTCTCGCCTCCCTTTACTTGCAGATAACACTGGCCGCAAATCCGTATCAGAGACGTTGGTATTTTTGGGTGCGAATGACATCGATTTGGAGAATAATCGTGGTGAATTGCTGGACGAAAACTTGCAAAAATGCTATCTACAAATACAGGGAATGACGTGTGCAAGTTGTGTGGCTGCAATTGAAAAGCACTGTAAGAAAATCCACGGTGTTGACAGTATTCTGGTTGCATTGTTGGCGGCCAAAGCTGAAGTAAAATACAATCCGAATGAAATTTCGGCCAAAGACATAGCGAAGTCAATAAGCGATTTGGGTTTTCCATCGGAAATCATCGATGAACCAGGCACTGGAGAGAGTAGCATTGAAGTGGAGATCAATGGTATGACATGTGCGTCATGTGTAAATAAAATTGAAACGACCATCAAAAAAATGCCTGGTGTAAAAGAAGCGGTTGTCGCTCTGACGACAAAACGTGGTAAATTCCGGTTCAATACCGAAGAAACTGGTGCACGGAGTATATGTGATGCGATCAATGCGCTGGGCTTCGAAGCAAAGTTATTATCAAATAAGGATAAAATGGCACACAGCTACTTGGAACATCGGCAAGAAATTCAAAAGTGGCGAAATGCATTCTTCGTATCGCTTGTCTTTGGCGGCCCATGTATGATTGCCATGGTGTATTTCATGGTTGAAATGACGAACAAAAGCCACGAGGAGATGTGCTGTATATTCCTGCCGGGATTATCATTGGAAAATCTGGTTATGTTTGCACTATCGACACCGGTCCAGTTTTATGGTGGTTGGCATTTCTATGTACAGGCCTACAAAGCGGTGAAACATGGCTCAACGAATATGGATGTGTTAATAACGATGGCAACCACAATAAGTTACCTATACTCATTGATTGTACTTGGATTGGCCATTATATTCCAGCACAATACGTCGCCCATCACATTTTTCGATACACCGCCCATGTTGCTCATTTTCATTTCACTCGGCCGATGGCTCGAACACATTGCCAAAGGTAAAACATCGGAAGCATTGTCAAAATTGTTGTCGCTCAAAGCGGTCGATGCTATTCTGGTGACGGTATCGGATACATTCGAAATTCTATCGGAGAAAACCATTTCGGTGGACTATGTGCAAAGAGGGGACATTTTGAAAGTGTTACCCGGCAGCAAAGTGCCGGTCGACGGCAAAGTGATATTCGGTTATTCAACATGTGACGAAAGTCTAATCACCGGCGAATCAATGCCCGTGCACAAGAAGAAGGGATCCGTTCTAATTGGCGGTTCGGTGAATCAAAACGGTTTAATTGTTATGGTCGCTACGCACACTGGCGAAAACACAACGCTCGCACAAATCGTAAAACTGGTCGAAGAAGCACAAACATCCAAAGCACCCATTCAACAGCTGGCCGATCGAATTGCCGGCTATTTTGTACCATTTGTTATCGCTATATCAACATTCACGCTAATCTCTTGGGTGATCATTGGATTCATTGATAAGTCATATTTACCGATGACCATGGCCGAACGGCATAATTTAGGCGACAATGAAATTATCATCAGCTATGCATTTCGATGTGCAATCAGTGTGTTGGCCATTGCATGCCCATGTGCTTTGGGCTTGGCAACACCGACGGCCGTTATGGTTGCCACTGGTGTCGGTGCACTTCATGGCGTTTTGGTCAAAGGGGCTGGACCACTTGAAAATGCACACAAAGTCAAAGTGTGCGTTTTTGACAAAACCGGCACCATCACACACGGCATTCCGATGGTGTCACGCATTACAATGTTTGTAAAGCCAACCATTTGCTCACTACCACGGGCTCTAGTTGCATTAGGCGCTTCGGAATCAAACAGTGAACACCCAATTGCCAGTGCCGTTGTGAAAATGTGCAAAGAAATGCTCGAAACAGATGTGTTCGGTCGGAGCAGTGATTTTCAAGCCGTTCCTGGATGTGGCATTAAGGTTACAGTATCAAATATTGATAATACATTGAAAAATGCCGAAAAAACGGAAAAGATTATAAATTATTATAATGCATACAATGGCAGTGCACAACATAGTAATCTTTTAGTCAATGGCATCACATTCGAAGAGGTCATCCCGCTGCTGAACCAATCACAGAAAAACACCATTGAATTACAACAATTATTGCAATTGGACGAAGAAATTCCGGTTGTTAATAAGGAAGCATTCGATGATGTGGTGAGTGATATTTTTTTCACATGACATTTCTTTTCAATTTTTTTTTTGATCAGGGGGATTTTTATGTCAACAAGAGGATTTTCGGATGAAAATTCCTTTCAAAATGAGGTTTTTCCCATGAAAAAAAGGTTTTCTTTTTCAAAGATCGTGTTAGGAAATCAAAAACGCATGAAAAAAAATTAACAATTTCTCTTTTTCTCCCGCAGAACGAATTACAAGTATTGATCGGCAATCGCGAATGGATGCATCGTAATGGGATTTTGGTGCCGCCGGAGGTGCATATGAAAATGAGCGATGAAGAATCAATGGGCAACACAGTGGTGTTGTGTGCAATGAACAATCAATTGATTTGTATGGTATCTGTTTCGGATATGGTAAAACCAGAAGCACATCTTGCCGTTTATACTCTGCGCCAAATGGGCATCGAAGTAATTTTATTGACTGGTGATAATAAGAATACGGCTGCAAGCATCGCACGACAAGTTGGCATCAAACGTGTATTCGCCGAAGTGCTTCCGTCCCACAAAGTGGCCAAGATACAACACATACAAGAGAAAGGTATTCGAGTGGCTATGGTTGGTGATGGTGTTAACGATAGTCCAGCATTGGCTCAGGCGGATGTTGGTATTGCCATCGCCGCTGGAACTGATGTTGCTGCTGAAGCGGCTGACGTTGTTTTAATGCGGGTAATTGGAAAAACGATTTAATCCAGCAAATTAGTTTAGAATGGAAACAGTTCTAAAGAAGGAATTTTCACTCAAAATTCTCAAAATTCTTTTCACCCAAAGAATTTCGTTGCATTTCATTTCAGAACGATCTATTGGATGTGGTGGCTTGTTTGGATCTATCACGACGAACGGTGCGACGGATACGTTTGAATTTCTTTTTTGCCAGTATGTACAATTTGTTGGGCATACCGTTGGCGGCTGGCGCATTCAGTCATTTCGGTTTGGTGCTACAGCCATGGATGGCATCAGCAGCAATGGCTGCCAGTTCCGTGTCCGTTGTGTGTTCGTCACTTTTATTGAAATTGTATAAAAAACCAACACTGGCATCGCTTCAAACGCCCGAATATCTACGAGAATTGGATCTAAGCGGATCACTTGATCTGGACAATATTTCAATACATCGTGGTCCCGACGATCTTCCACGACCCAATTTCAACAGCTCGAATAGCTCAACACTGTCAAAGTGAGTATGTGATTTGATGGGAAGAAATTAATGCTTTTTATCCTTGCACACGAACTGAACCCTATATCTTTATACCATAACAATATGGTGACTCTATTTAAACTAGTCAATTTTGTGATTTTAATTCATTTCTACACCGACCGTTTTAATCGATGATTTTTTGTTCTTTGTTTTATTTTTTTTTAACTTTTTTTCTAATTTTTTTTTTGTTTAGTTTTTTGCGCACCCCGAACACAGCCTGCTAACTAACAAACTAATAAATGAAATTTGGAAACGAATACCAAAGCGTTCAGCAAGATTCTGAACTCCATCTAACACACACACACATTAACCACCAAACACAAACACACACTAACTTCACTACTAATAAAATGCACAACAATTGTCGTCTTTTTGATACATTGCTTTTATTCCCATGTTACACTAACCCGAATCGAACGAAACACTAATCGCTTGTAGATTATAAGCCTAATTGTAATTAAAAGAAGAAGAAAAAACCCGCTGACTGACTCAAAAAGACATAATTTGCCCACAGCACGGCATTGTTCCCTAATGTTTTTGTTTTCATTAGAGCGTGTTGTGAGCTGATATCAGCAGCACTAACTAACGTCAGCTACTGATATCAGCTGCTAACGAGTATGCGTTGCGTTGTTCTAACGCATTTGCAGTATAAGAACGAAATGGTGAGTAAACTTTCCATTGGTATGTTCAATCTCACCAATGGTAAGTTTACTCACCCTTTCGTTTTTATACTGCAAATGCGTTAGAACAACGCAACGCATACTCGTCAGCAGCTGACGTTAGTTAATGCTGCTGACATCAGATCATAACACACCCTGGTTTTCATTGTACGTCATCGTGTTCTCGACGTAAATAATTGTTGCCTGTTATTCTCTTATTGTTCAATTTAAAAAAAGCCAGCTTCTTCCGATATGTGCTAGTTATACGAAAACAAAACAGAAGAAACAATATAATAATAATTAGAAACAATAATTTTTCATCTAATCTTATTTTGTGTTTTCATCAGATTACAAAAAACTGAATTAGGGATTAGTACCTGAAGGTAAGCTTCAAATTTGTCGACACATTCAGTCTTGTACAATGCATTCCACGACAACAGAGATCTCTTCAACTCATTTATAGCATAATAGTGTCGTTCGTCGGTCACACATATTTACACATACACATGACTACTAAATAAACAATATGATAATAAGAACATCCACCTCTTTTTGGCTTACTCGAGGGCTCAATAAAAAAAAAACATTCAAACAATCACTCAATTGGATTAGTAACACTTAAATTTATAGCGACATTTTGTACATACTCTTCTTATATTTCGTAAAATTTATTCATGGAAAATTTTTAAACAAAATCATTGTCCGAATATTCTCAGGGTGTGAGAATATTGATACAACACAAATCACTTGCAGAATGATTTTTTATTCTTTCGGCTATTTTTTTTCTTCAAGAATTTCTTCAAAAGAACTAATTTCTTTGAATGAAACTAAAATTTGAAAAAAAAATTCTAAGAAAAAAATTTAAGAAATTTTTCCTTCGATGAAAGAAAAAAACGTTCTTTATAACACCAAAAAATTAGCTTTAAAAACCATTTCGATTTAAATGAACCAATGTCTTACTGTTATTTCTTGTTATTTTCTTTGCCATTTCTTTTATTATTAAAAAATGTTATCACGGCCAAATTAGATTGTTCATGTCACAAAAGCGCGGTTTGCAAGAGTCTCCATTGTTAGCTGCCAACGATGATGAAGAAACGTCGACCATAATGCCACTTAACCGATATGACTGTGGCAAAGAGAAATTCCGTGATGTCATCGAAACGCAGAAACTTTGACACTGAATTGTCTTCAAGCTGCAAAATCATCAAATCAAAAATCAACCAAATAAAGATCATCACACGCTACATTTCATTCTCAACTTAAATGCCTTACGACAAAAACCAATGTTTTCCAGTTCACAATACCATTTTCCATCGTATATTGGTAACTTTATTGAAATTTCAGATTGAATTTAAAACAAATTCGGTTAAAATTTCGTTGACAGACAACTTCCCAACCGGTGGATCAAATCCGCTGTTTTACATATTCGGAAACAAAATAAGTTTTTTTTTATTCTTCTAAAAATGGCGATTTTGTTTGAACAAATTCATAAATATTTAGTAAATATTATTTACAATTGTTTTGCTCATTTAATGAAGAAATGGCCTTTATACCATTTATTTTGCTGTAGTTAGAGCGAGTTAGTTTCTTTTTTTTTTTGAAAAATTTTCATGCAAAAATATATTATTGTAAATAGAACAAATGATGAATATTTACTTACTATCCCGTTTATATGTGAAATTGTGATAAAGCAAATGAAAAAAAGGAGAAAAAAATAAAAAAAAAATTCCAAAATAATGTCGAACTAAACATAGACTTTTATTTCTCTGGCAATTAAAAATACAAACAAAAATTATCCACTAAATGACATAAAAAGATGTCTCTTCATGGCTAAAATCGGCTAGCATCAACTCGTGATACAAAAACACATTTTTATTTCTTCTAAAATTTTTCTTATGACAATAATTCAGTTCACTTCAGACGAATTGCGTCCTTCACTTATCAAAATCGTAAATACACCAATTTTCGAGCCATTTGTGTTCTGTTTCGTTTTGTATTCAGCAAATATGCTCGAAAAACCGAGATCCATTTGGATTAGTCGCATGCTTGGACTAATTTATTTCGAAAATGACTAAGAGACAAATGATTAGAATCTAAACAAAATGGCATCATTAGCTATTCTTTTTTGTGAATATATATGGATGCTCGGCAGTTGGACACTTGAATTCGCTGAATTCCTTCTTCCAATTGGTCGATTTATTGCCGTACGGTTCGAACATATTGTTCCACAAGCCATTACTGGCGATGGCGTATCCTTTTTGACTGAGATGAAAGCAATCGACTGACATGTATGTGTAATCGTTATTGCCATTGGAGACGCGCGGAAATTTTACTTGCCGCAAAAATGGTTGATTGATCACCGCAAAATCGTCTTTTTTATTGAACTCATCCAATTCCGGCACTTCGGCTGTCACCTCTTGCCATTTGACCATGGTGTTGAAATAACGTTGACGCAAACCACCATACTTGAAACCAAAGATACAAGGGCACTCAAAATGATTCGATGATATACATTCTTTTGGCTTGCCACGCAGTTGATAGATCACTTTCATGCCTATTTTACATTTATAAATTGGCGACAGGTAATTCAAAATATTTTTTTTCTTTCGGCTGAAACCCAAAGATTGCTTTCGATAGTTTTAGCCTTTGAGTCATTGATCTGAAGAGAATGGATATGCCTTTCAACTTACTTGGTGGTGTCACTAGATTAACAATTGTACGTGGCAAATTGTCCCGCAGTGTGCGAAGTGTTTCAATCAATTCCCGGCGATGATTTTCGGCTGATCTCTCTGGATACGGCAGATAGCAAAAGTCAGAGCAGAAATCATTTGGACCGATTAGAATGGTTACAATCTTCCAATGATTCTGCAAATCAACATTTGGATCACTTCGCATGCGCTTCACCAGAATTTTCGCCTCGTGTGGTATATCTCGAGACATCGCACCTATTTCAGCCACGTTAAACCTGAACGAAAATGTGGACAAGATCGAGATTGTTGTCGTAAATTCAACGGGAAAAAGAACTAACTTAAAATTAAAGTGATTTTTGTTTGCAAATTTTGAAACAAGAATTGAGGTGAGCCATTCAACTTGCGGACAAAGACCGAAAAAAACCTTTTCTTTTTGAAAAAAACAAATTAAAAGGGCAAACTGAGATTTTATCAAAATTTATATTCAATATTTGAATCGGAATCAGTCAATTGATATCAAGCCCAACTAATGTAATACGTAGTGTTTACTATTCATTATTCCTACCTTGCGGATTTATCGGTCGAAAACCCGTCCTGTAGCGAATACCCGTATAAATTCTTGTTGAACTCCTGCAAATAAACCGAATGAACCGATATAACTCGGAAATTGTGACGTCGCCGATTGATTTACCCTTGAAACTCTATATTTTATCTACGAACCTACCTTCAGTATATTTGGAAGCTGAAAAACGGTAGCAAAAACCAGCAAAACGAGAAAGAAAAAAAAGTTAAGTGACCCGTTATAAAACATATGATTCATTATCATTTACCGTTAGAAATTTATGCCAAGTGCCTTGTCCGCCTGAAAATACAATTCACACCAATAACAACAACAGCAGCAATAAAAAAAAGATATGCGAATTAAATTGAATAAATTACCCATAAATTATGGCATGCGTGCTATTTTGATCAAATGGATTTTGATATCACGCTCGCTCGCTCTCTCTCTCACACACAAACACATGTTTGCAAAGCACTAAACGGTTATATTGATAAATGTTACATACCGATTGACCATGAAACACCTTTATTTTCAACGATCACTTGTAAAATGTTCGTGGCAAATGCCCCATTGCCGGCAGTCAGCGAATCACCTATGGCTGCAACGATGTCTATATCACCTGGTCGCACCGTATGCGCTGAAGATGGAACGCTGTCACTTCTTGCGCCCGGTCCATTTGGATCACAGAAAAAACGGGCCGTTTGTGGATATGGTTTTTGTACTTTCTTAATGTGTTAATCGACATGAAAGAGACAAATTTCGTAACACTTAATTTCATGCATTTTGCACTAGCTTATAATGGGTATTCCATTAAGACGGTATTTGTCAATCCTCGAGAGGATTTTTTTTTGCAATCTCGAGTAAATGATTGATCATAATTTTTTCTTTCTGATTTTATTGTTACCTGTCTTTTAAAATTCCATAGATATGCCGATTCAGTGTCAGAGCGGCCAATGAACTTGAACAGTCCCCCTCGAAATTTGCGATATTCATTGATGAACTTATCGAGTATCGTTCGCTGCGCACTGATTGTACCAATTTCGCACACGACAAACACACACATTATGTATACACATATGGCGAGCAGTCGCTTCAACGACAACTCCATTATTCTTCCGTTTTTTTCTTTATTGGATTAAAATAACACTCTCGAATACACGAAATTATTTCAATTTGGAATTTTCGAATTTTACTCGAAATCAATGGTTTTCGTATGTGAAACGCTCGTAGACACCCCTTCACGTTGAATACAAGCACTTTGAATTTAGACGATAGCCATCGCCACCGCGTCAGAACTGATCAATCTGAAATGATTATTAAATTGTGAGAGAGAGAAAAAAGAAGACACACACAAAACCTTCGATCAGATGATTTGGAATGAGAATTGATTTTAGATAGAATCCGTCGTGATGCACCTATTCTCAACATTTTTGCACATCGATTCATAATCAATCCCAGTGAGATCATCGTAGATAAAGCCACAACAACGCAACGCGAGTGGGGAAATCAACGTTTTTCATTCGAAACGAAATAAACGAAATTTTTTGTATTTTTCCCTATACGCCCTTGACTAATAATGCATTTCTAAGTACACGACTAATTACACATCATTGTATAATTAATGGTGTAGCAAAAACGGACCGTTTAAAATGAAAACGTCTTCAATTCGCACATAATTCGGCCGTTTTCATTTCTTATCATTATCACAAACGCCTATCGCTTTGGAAGCCGCTTGTTTCAATGCAAATTCATAATTTTTTTTTCTGTTCGCATCTCTCTCTCTCTCCCTTTTTTCTCTCTACCTCCCTCTATCTTCATTTATCTCTCTATTTCTTTCTCTGTGAGATAACAGAGAGATTCTCTCTCGATCGATTCAACTTGAGAAAAATCGATGTTCTGATGCTTTTGAAATGTGTAACCTCGTAGATTTTTCATATCTGTTGATTGATAGTAAGTGTTCACTTGAAGTATGCAATTGCAATTATTTTCATTCAATGAAAAACAGTAGATTTGTTTGCGACGAAACCGGAGAATAACCGCCAAGTTTCGAAGAACATTATTAATATCTCGTTAAAATGTAGTCAAAACGTGTATTTCTATGTCGTCTAGCAAATAAAATAATGACGCCACTCATTGGAGCAGGAAGGCACAAAATGTTCTAATTTATGAGCATTGCTGAAATAGCACCTGATTGATATATCTATTTGAGACACACAGACACATACGTGTGCATGTTTGCGGTCGTAAAAACGTATATTTGAATCTAAAAAGTGGTTATGCTTAGATAGACTTCCGTTATATCTGTGGGTTTGATACGTCGATTTTTTGTTTATTGGACGCTTGGTTCGTTCCCTTCTTTGGTGGGTTAGAATAGAATCAATGTGAGAGTGATCGCACACATGACCTCGCCCAATGATATGAACGAGATAAAAACGAAGAACGGAAGAGATTTGTTTCTCTTTTTTCTTCGTATTTGATTTAGCGTTAAGTCAATGTCAACTGGATAATTACTGAAATCGCGTGCGAGCAGCTATCAAAGTATGCATAAAATGATCTAATTTAAAACCTTCCTCTTGTAATTTGGAATAAAACACATTTTTATGCTCTTCTCTCAGCTGTTGCTGCTCTCAAATGTTAAACATGCGACAGCGGCTTCACAATGATTTATTCTATGTTAATTTGATTATTTTACGTGTGTGGAAAAATTCACTGGCTGCAAATTAACGCTTCTAATCAAAAATCACCTGATGAAACACAAAAAACTCACTAGACCGATGCAAAGAGCTCATAGACAACTTAAGCCATACCATTTATTTTAAAGACATAGACAACGCTAGATTCTGCAAAATAAATTATGTGTGCGGGCGCAAATGAGCGCGCGCGCGCGCTCTCTCGTGTTCGCGCTTACACAGACTCCGATCGTACGACGAGACCTGTTTTGAAATGTGAGTACGTGCGGATGGAAGTAACAGATGAAGACTGCAATGGCATTTTAAATGCACATTTTTATGCACTTTGTTCACTCTCAAGTTCAAGGTTGCAATCATATTGTTGCATGCTCACAATCACAATGCCATTTATAATAATCTATGCTGTACGATGTTTTTTTGTTCGTTTTTATTTTTTTACGTTTTTTTTCTCCTCTCTTTGGTTGAATGGATGATGATTCAGCTTGGTGAAGTTTATTCACACTCGTTGCACACCAAATTGAGAGATAGAGAGAGAGAGAGAGAGAGAGAGAGAGAGAGAGAGAGAGAGAGAGAGGGAGAGAGAGAGAGAAAGAGAAGAAAAAGCGGTGTGTGCTTATTATTTCAAGTTCAAATTTAATCAGTTGCAAAATTTCACTTGATTCGATGTAATTATTGGTGTGATTATTGATGGATTCGACGATTATTTATCTAATTTCTTTATCATCATCTTCTTCTTCTTTTTCTAAACATTTACATTATTTCACGTTGATTTTCCAAATTATCTAATTGAATTTTTCTGTACTCTCTTCACTCTAATCACTGTATTTATTTACACAGATATTTAACAGTGGTTCGTCTGTTTAAAAGCACTTTTGTGGCTGAATTGATGTTGAAAATATATACATAAGGTGAAATAGAGTGTGTGTGTATGTGCGCGCTAGAGATAGACCGCATGAGACCGAAAAAAGCCGTTGTAAATGGGCCGCCGTGTCGTGTGAACCAAACACTCTAACTAAATGAATGAACGGCCAGAGAGACAGTGTGTTCTATCGGTGCCTTAGGTGACGACGGTGACGGCAACGACGACGACGACGACGACGCCGCACCAGTGCCTTTGACTAGCAAAGCATGAAACAATCGATCAGAACTAATTCACCTTCAGATTCGGCAGCATTACGGACGTCGTAACATAAACAAAACATTTTCAATCGGATTTCATTTGAACATACACACCGTGTGAGATAGAGAGAATTGCTGATTGGTGATGCACACAATGCTAACGCTTGCGAGTGGTATGTGAGCCCGAGGTTGTGTTTCTTTCATTTTTGCATAAGGCAAAAAAAACAACATTAATTACAGCGACAATCAAAATCAATTATCAAATTCGCATTCGATGGGAAATGCATTGAAGCGCACCCAATCATATCAATCAGCTGTGTGTGATGGGTGTATGTGCGTATATTTTCTAAATTGTATCTGTGGCCGAAAAACATAGACCTTATTTTGATATATACAGCACACTTCGATTAAATGGCTACCAAATGTAAGTTCTTTTCGATATGTCCTTCCGGCATCATAAATAATGGATAAAACAATGTAATAATTCTGAATATGGATTCGAAAGCAATTCACCCGCGAATTCACCACTTTATAGGTTTGCAATGGGACCATACAGCCAATGTAAATACATTGATGTAATCGTATGAACTTTCTTCTAAAACTTTGCGAATAAAGTATGAGAATAAAGCGTGGCACCACTATCTTTCCAAATCATATCATTGAAGTCAATGGAATACACAAGACTTCAAAAGTACGGCAACAGATGGCACCTCTATGAATACCATACGCAATCTACGTCGCAAATGAGTCTAGATTGTAGGTTTGTTTACATTAAATTTTTTCGTTGCTTGTTACTTGTTTATGGGCTTTGCAGATATATTCCTCTCTATACTCGGTACAAAAAAAACCAAAGCTGTGAATGAATATGGCGTTCTTTTTTTTGTTGTGAGCTAGCGTAACATAGTGTGTAGATACACGTGCTCATTGCTTTGGTATTAGATGTTTGTAAGCAAATGGACTTGATAAACTTGAGAAAAATAAAATAAAAACCAGTTGAGAAAAAAGTGCGCTAAATGACACATGAGGAATGAGAAATGTAAATAGTTTCAATTACATGATTTATTGATTTGATCGGCCTATTTTTGCTGTTTGCGATCTCTCTACGGTTTAAGAGTACTTTTGTTCTTCAATCAAACAATTTAATCCTGCTTGAAGCCAACCAATTCGGATCGTTCACGATTTCGTCGCTTTTGGATTCATGTTAAGTTTTGTGTAACCATTTGTTTTGGTTCTATTGTTGTTGCTTTTGTCACTGTGTCTTTGAACTGGCTAAGTCATCGCAAAACGTAATCATCGTTTACATGAAAAAATTTACTCATTCACAATTGACGGTTGTTTGAACGTTTGCCTCAATTCTCGAATTGACATGATTTTCTCGAGTGTTGTCGGACAAAAACAAACACACGAACTTTTCTCTCTCTCTCTCTCTTTCTATTGCGCTCAAAAATGAGTGTGTAAGTGAACGTGAAACACCTTTGATAAACAATTGATTTTCGAATGACAATACTCACGCTTACCGGTGAATTGGTCGGTTGCACTCATTTAAACAACCATATATGAATGACTGTCGTTGTTTTTATTTTCCGTTGAGTTACATTTCATAGCTTTGTGTGCTATTCTTAGCAGCTACAAAGCAGACAAATAGATATCATCGATATCTATGAATGATTTTTCAACGGAATGATAATCGGTGGTTAGGTGTGAACAAGGCGATTGATGTGAGTGAAACCGATCAATTTGAAACGGTAAAAAAATGCACTTTGTTCTAATGGAAAATGATGTGTCGTTCCGTGCGATGTCAGCCACTTTTATGCCTCGATAATTGGACACTGAGCAATTTACTAGATGCCAGACAGTATGATTATTGCGAACAAAATTACTCACATTTTACAAATTACCCGGTAATTGCCACCTATTTTTTTTTCTTTTTTGCTTTCCTCAATGAATCGGAAATTATGTTTCAGCTCCAGTTTAATTCACTTCTTCGAAGAAAAAAAAATCTACGATTCGTCGCACTGTTTTTTCCCCTATTCGTTGGAAGAAATTAAAACAAAAAAAAAACAATTATTCAACTCGGGTGTCCTCACGCGTTCACACAACGAGACTGAGACTGATTTTTTTCAAACTGTGTAATTTATATGAAAAAGACACACACGGCGTATAGAACAAAAAAAGAGCACATAAATCTCATAAGCAACAACACTTGGATACGACGAGGATGAGGCATACAAAAACAAATATTCCTATTCATTGTACGCACTCGCGCGACAGTATCATTCCGAGTTAGTGCTGCTGCTGCTGCTGTCTTCAACGCTCGCGCATACAGAGCTGTCAGCTGGGCCGAAGCTGAAAGTGAACACTGTAATCATGCAAATCAAGACGATAACAATCAATTCTATGCGCCGGAATAATAAACAACTCTTAACCGGCCAATCGCAGCTGCTGATGCTGCTACTATCGACGCCGCCGCCGGTCGCGCTAAGATACACGCACAACATCGGTCAAACACGTACGATCCAAATATGTGACATCATTCGTTCAAGCTCCCTTTAAATGGCGACTACGTTAATCGACCACATCTCATAAGCTTTGTTCCAAAGTAATTGAATTTGTGGTTTCTATTCAATTCATTTGGGTCATGGGTTTGATAACCCGAAATTCAATGGGTTTCCATTTCAAAGACAACACTTTCCACTCTTGAACTACATTTTATTTGAGGGGAAAATGTACTTGATCTCTTTCAAAATGAAGTAGAATTGATCGTTTCTTGGTAAGTTTTACATTCCTTTCTCACTTGTAAGTGTCGAAAAAATTGAAAAATAAGAATGATAATCAAGTGAAAATCTGATCTAAAAATAAATTAAATGCAAAAAAAATGGTGCTCATTTGCCATTTAATGGACAACAATCGAATCAAAAAGACGACCGTTTGAACTTTTTGTCAATAGCGTAAAGATGTCAAGTTTCCTGGAAGTACATACGACGCATCACACATGGCCCAGAGTTTAGTTCAAGACAACAAACGTATCATCAACAAAGGTATGGACGATGATTTTTCGTTAATCGGTCAGTGGTCACGTTTCGTTTTACAATAAATCAGTTTGCATGCGTTGAGATCAGGAAATGAATACGCTGGTTGGTTGTTGTTTTTTTTTTTGGTCGAAAAAGATCGTAATCAAGCAACAAGTGCTTATCGCACGTGCGTTGACTATTTTTCCATAAATTTACACGAAAAAAAATGAACGAATTTGATTGTTGCGTTTACCATGTCAACAAACGCGTAGTTTACGTAAAAAATGCGATTTTTTTTCAACGCAAATCGTTTCTATCTGATCGTTTCGACTGACTCGGAATTCGCAAGAATCATTGTGTTTTAAATAATATTATTTCATTCAAAATATTGAAACAGAAAAAAAACTTAAGAATTTAATTATTTTTGTCTTGCAAAATGTTCCATTCAAATCAAGAGAGAGAGAGAGGGGGGGGGGGGTAAATAAAGCTATGCAATCAATGTGAATTCGATATTCAATTACGTTGAACCATTTTATTATATGGATTTCGATCTCAAGAACCTCATAAAGCCGATGAATTATGCGACTCGAGTCACAGCATGAAGCTCTTGTTCTTGCTCGATTCTTTGCCTCTCTAGTATAGTCGTAAAAATTGCGATGGTTGTTGTTGTTTTCGCGATTGTGTGAATTTTATGCGAAAAAATATACACTTTAAGTCACATTTTTATGATGCAAACAATAAACAATTTGTTGAGTTTGTATTCAATATAATCTCGCATCGGATGTAAGACCCATTCAAATAGTTCTTACATAAATTATTATCCTTCCCTTTTGTAGACATTAATTGCTTCAAGTTACTTTGTGAAGCTGGAAGCAATGAAATGCGAATTCTGCCGACTATTTACCACGCGTAAAGCAATGAACGACCAAAGAATTAGTGCGACAACAGAACGTCGTAGCAAATCGTTTACTTGGAAGAAGGAAATGACTTTAGACGAGAGAATCACATTTTTTTTCTAGTAGAAAGTTATTGACTCTGTTCACTTTTTACTTTTTTTCTCAAACAGAGAAATAGTTTAGTTGATGCTCTTAAGTAGAAACTAAAGAAAAAAAGAAGAAGCTTTAGTCCAGAACGTGGACATTTTTTTATTTTTATTTATTTTGAACTGATTGAAGTTGTTAGACTATTTCAACGTTTGAAAATTTATTTTCTTCGACCACAATCCTAAATTGGGCTTTAGTGATGCCAAAATAGAGCCGAATTGATGTCAAAGTTTCTTTTAAATTGATTGAAGAATAATTTGGGTCAATTTGAATTCAAGTTAAGTTTTAAAGAAGATGTTCCAGATCGTTCCATCAAATGAATTATTGAGCCTATCGCTTTGCCGACGATTCAAATGCCAAAAAACAGCCAGTTTTGATTTAAAAAAAAAGCCTCCATTGAAATTAAGAACACGATCCCGTATCCAAAGTCACCATGCAATCAAAAATAAAGCAATCATGATTTGATTCTACATATTCTATCATTTATTAATTTTCATGAAATAATTTGTTCGAAACGAATCAATAGCGTGAGCTAGAATAATATTATTTTTTTCCTAAAAAAAATTTGTTCCCTCTAAAAATGTAAAGAAAATGAGTAAAGATAGTATTCTAATATAAATAACAATAGTCAGATCACATTGAAAAAGAAAATTTCGTTGGATTTTGTTTTCTAATTCAGCAGACAGTGTTATTGAAGTAGCTGCTGCACAATTTTACATTGACTAAACGTTTCATGGCATCGGTTGGCCATGATTTAATGTATTCATTGATCCAGTATCGCGTTAAATCAATATATTTGGTCGGTGTGCCGGGACTATAATCTTTAAAGCCACTCCTGGGAATTGCTTCTTCAATCTGCGTACCACTCAACCAATCGTTATAGCTGGCGATGTTGATGAATTCCGCACCAATGGCGATTGCTGCTCGCCAAGCAACACCATAATATTGTCCATTGGTTCGATGTCGTCGGGTGCTGGCAAGTTTTGGCTGTTTGCTGTATTCATCATAGCCCGGGCCAACCGTTGGAATGAACAGCAACTTGAATTTATCGGCCGATTTTTTCAATTCTGACCAATACTTCCATGTGCTAGCATATGTAGCACCATTGCTCACCATTCGACTGTAAAACCCATTGAAGTTTGCCACTTTGATGACGGACACATCTTTCCGGGTGCTGAAACCATTTGAATTTGGAATTTGGAAATTAGACTTTTGATCACTTTTGGTATCAAGTTGGGTAGTATTTAATGATTTCAAATTGAATTTCAAATGAAAACCTGACTCCAAAATCAATTTGCAATAGAATAAAGAATTGAGATTTGAAAATTCCAAACCACTCTCACCTGATATGTCCGACAAAAACGGCATCATGCGATGAACTACGCAGCGAAATTACTCCACTTGGCGATATTAGACTCTTCCAATCATTTGGCGGCAAGCAATCGATGTTTTTCATATAAATCATCGGCATATACATATTTTTCGAGGTGACAAACACCTTGTAAAGGCTGCGATGTTCCCAAAATTCTTTGTAAAAGTAATGAATGTCATTAAAAATGGTGGAAGCGGTGCGATTTGGATAGTTATCAATTTCGATAGCGATTTGTATGCCAAAATTGTGTGCCTCATCAAACAAGTGCCATAGTAATTGTTCTTGAGTGAACGGTGACCAAGTGATAATCAGAACGTTTGCTCCGATCAATTGAATATTCTCAAAGTGATGGCGTAAGGTTAGGTTATCTGGTATATAAGTGCCGAGTTGTGGCCAAAACGATGTCGTCATATGGCTCCATTCGACGGGAAGTGAGTAAAAAATATGCACATTTGGAGCTGAGTGTTTTGGAAGCTTTTTTGTTGCATTGACAAGAATCATTGAATCATCGTTCTGCAAACGATTCGATGTGAGACGCTTGATTTTATTGCGTAACACATCCTCACTGTTGCCTTTCACATGATTCTTTCCATAGACTTTCAACGACTGATTGATTGCCGTCTTTTGATTGGCGCGCGTTTGAACATTTGATGACTTGGACCATGCACTGAACAGACCTCGATTGAAATTGTTCGTCATCGATTCCTTTTCACCATTTGGCAGCGAGTAAATCAAAAACACGGCCACCGTTGAAAATGCACCAAGTATCATGAACAACCGCAAGACTTTCACTCGCAGAACGCATTTTTCCAAATTCATTCTTAACACTTAACACGGGTTGGATGGATGGATTCGCGGGTATTAAATCTAAAATGAAAAATGTGTGAACTACATTTTTAGATTGCATAATTTTACGGAAATTCAACACATTTTTTCGGCTGGAATACACTTACAAAATATGAAACGGGCAATGGAAAGCCCTTTGCCACGGACGCTGCACATCCAAATCAAAATTGTCTTCGAATTTTCATGATATTTATCATGGTTGTTTGCTGCATTTTGATTGAATCAGCAAAATATTCCTTATTGTCCTAATTTGTTTATCTTTTTCTTTGACAATTCCCGTACTACGAATCCAGAACAGATTCTGCGCACATCTTATCTATTCGCAAATCGACGACATTGAGCACATCCATAACAGACATTCCGGCAGTGAATGCAAAACAACACACTGACAACGTCGACGACGGCGGCGGCGGCGGCTTACGTGGAAAACGGAAAATGAAATGGAAAGTGTTTTGATTTATATTCCGGCAATAAATGGGGGAAAGCTACGTGCATCAATGATCTAGGCGAATATAAAGAATTTTTACAGGAAATTGTCAACATAATTCATCATTATCCATATCGACACCAAATTGTGGAAAAATGTCTTCTTTTGGCTATGGAAAATAAAAACTAAGAGCCTTTGAAAGAAACTATATTTTTTGCTGCACGGCTGATGGAATCGATAGCAATGGGATTTTGTTTACAACAAAAGGAGACATATTTTGCTACAAGAGAAACTGATATTGCGGAAAAGTAGCAAACAACTTTGTTAGGAAATTCGTGGAGCTCCCATAGAAGATTCGTCAAAATGCTCATTTTTCTATTATGGAGCGACGGAGCTTTGTGAATTGCAACTGTTTGATGGATATTCGACCAGATGTTTTGAAACCTTATGAGGTTTTGAATCATTTTTTAATGCTTTGTTATGTATAGAAAACTTTGAAAATTGTGATGTACGTATGGCATTGTTTAGTTTTGGTATGTTGAGACTTAAAACCGTAGATTTGTAACCATAATCGATGAGCTCTTCTGGTTTTTACCTAGTAGAAAGATTGAACTTTTCTTTGGTACTAATTGAAATAGACATTTCTCGGAGTTTTGGTCATAAAAACATTCTTTTACCAAAATAATAGCTGTTTTAGAATAACGGTATACTCAATTCCTAGTAAAAAGAGGTCGAATTTTCGTATATTCTTTATTATGCGCATCTTCTTCGTTTATCTTTTCCAATATGCGAATGTTTACCTAATGTGGCCAGATCATTTTTTCGAAAATATAGAAGATCGAATGAAATTGAGACAAAAAATATAGGAGTATATAGGAGCCGTCATTTTTTTCATAGCAGAAATATAGGATAAATGAAAACTGACAAAAACGTTATATTTCCAATAATATATTAAATTCGTTTAATTTACTAAAATTAATTCCTTTATAATTGAATGTGTTCAAGTAAATAAGAACTTCACCTCTATTTGCGACAGAAAAATCTGATTTGCATAAAATGCAGAGCGTCGAGTTGATCGACGCACACGACTTGGAAAATGTATACAGTGTATTGAGTGCCATTTGTGAACATTATAACCAATATGGCGACTTACATGTATAGATGTGTTAGTTAATGTAGCAATATCGGCATTGCCATTGCGTTCAATTGACTACACGATTCATATTTTGTACCGGAATGCTTTATGACTATATATGGTACCATTTCGCAAGAATGGAATATGCGTCGAGCACCAAAAGTGCATTTCTGTTTTTGTTGCAGACTTCAATATTTGTCTGCATCCTCAATAATTTTTATTATTTTCGTCTCGTTTCTACTTTTCTTGTCTTTTTCATCTCCTAATTGCATTTGTAATTCCATACAGTATAACACCGACAAACATGCGTGCGCAGTTCAGCTACGTACCACGTTAGGCAATAAAACTGATGCATTTTCGTCATAAACTGACTTCCTTTTCTGGGTAATTCCCGAAGTACCCGACATTATGGTGCCACTTTGTGCTCAAAATGTGCACTCAAAACAATTAGCATATGCTAATCCCTTTTTCTTTCGTCTACCTTCCATACCATTCGGAACTTTAAGCCGAATTGGTGGTTCACATTCCTAATACCTTGTCAAGTGCAAACCCATCCCTTTTTACCTACTTATCTCATTTCATTGGTCAATATGCCTTCCCCACTATTTTGCAGAATATTGATAAGAAAAACAATTAGTTAAGCTAGGAAAAAAATGTGTCTCTAGAATTTGGTCTTCTGTAACTCACCAGCCAAGCAAGACATAGCTCTGCTTGTGCCTCATTTTATTAATTTAAAAATAAAATAAAAACACTTAGAAAAAAAAAGTGTTTCATTTCATAGAAGTAAGGAAAAACTCCCTATATTAAGAAGAAGAAGCAGTCACACTGCACCATTCGCATACGGACGAAAGTGTAGTACACTCTGACTTTTTGATAGACAATTAAATTAAATTAAAAGGATTTCATCTCATGTCAAAAACTCAACACGTTTTATAGGCTGAAACTCTGAAAAATTACCGACTGAATTGTTAACAACGAAGTAGAACAGATAAAATAAATTTTCGTTCAGTGTTTGATATTTCGATAGAAATCATGAAGCTGATTTTCATTGTGTTGGCTACATTGTATGTTATTACTGCACACAAGACGTAAGTAAATTTGGATTTCATTTTTTTCTCTGTACAATAATAAAATGCTTTTTCCTCTCAAAAACAGCTCGGAAGAAGGCGTAGTATCGACAAATACAAAAACAACTACATCAAGCAGTGAAAGTTATCCTGACTTTAGAATTGATCACCGTATTCCTGGCTGGAAGGCTAGTGGTCGCGTTTCTTATTCGGCTTGTTCGTCTGGAGACTTTGTGATCGAGTTTGGCCAATATTGGACCGAATACCGTGGAATTTGTTTGCTTACTCAAATTACCGCTGTAATGATTAGAGGCAATGAGTCAATCCGTGCACGGAGCTATTTTTCCTCTGGTACGAGCTATAGTCAATTCGAAATTGTTGAGGAAAGACCAAACGATACAAGCAGTTTTTGTGTTCGTCGTGTTGGCACAAATTGCTCATAAAAATTCTCCCTCTTCAAAGATATTTCGTTTGAGTTCATTATTGCCGAATATTATTTCCTTAGCCCTCATTCATTTTCTTATTTTTCAATTTGAACTTGTTTTGATGATTGAATTGTCTCAATCTTTTTAATATTTTCTTATACAATTTTTTAATAAAGTGTGGTGATCAACAAAGGTGCACGTGTTGTTATTTTGTTAATTTCATTGACGTACGAAACATGTCTATGGTATCAATATTAAAAACGTTGGTATTTTTGATCCGAAATTGCAGTTTCTAATGTTCTAAAACCTAGGGGGTAGACACGGTATCTAATTTCTTCTAATTTTTACTAATATGCTATTCGTGTCTACCCCTTAGTCTAAAACGCTATAAATATTCATTGATTTGGTCAAAATGGTCGAGATCGGTGATTTCAAAGGGTCAAAAAAAGAATAGAATCGTTCATATCATTTAGCGCAGCAAACTATTCGCTGTCGGTCGTTCAAAAAACAATATGCCTTATATATTGCGGTTGAACTGTTGAGAATATTCGTTGGACGTGTTTCGATGCATTGTGAAAAGTGGATCTTGAAAAAGTTGTACGCAAAAGCGGTACATCAAAAACATTTTTTCGGGGTTTTTAAGCGATGATTATAACAACACTTGTCCCGCATTTTCGTACAACTTTTTTGAAGTTCCACATTTAACTAAGCATCGAAACACGTTCAGAGAATATTCCTAGGGGTTTCACGCAACTTAACATTCATCTAAAATTTCAATATTTCTCTCTTTTCTCTCAGATTCTCTAGGATTCACCAAAATCTCTATTATTTCAAAATATTTCAACATTCACCTTGAAAATTATGTTCTGGAAGTGAGTTTTGGTGGATCAGACTGGGTTTGACAATCGAATTAAAGTAGTTATTAAATGACTGTCGCTATTATTTAAAATTCAATTATGCGTAGGTTGTAATTTATAACCATTGTTGTGTGATTGTTTAATGGAGTAAATCGATTTCAAAAATGAAAGCAAAAAAATAAGCGTTATTCATCTACTAATAACGATCGGGAATCTTTTATATCGTTTCCAGCAGGTGGTTTGATGACAGTTAAGACTCATTTTTGCTGTATCGACAAGATTTGTTTCGATCGGTATTCGACAAGTGTAATCCTAATAAAGAATGACACCGAATGGAAAATTTCAATCAGAATTCTTTCAATGGAAAAATTATCAAAATATTCGTTTCAGAATCAGAAATTTCTCATTTAAACTAGTCTTACCAAGATGTCTTTTCGCAAAATGAAATGCTGATTCAGCGGCTTGTAATGGCGTCTAATGCGAGATGTTCGTCGTCTGTGCAAAATGCACAAACAAGGTGATCACCAAATTAGTCTCAATTGTTTTTGTAGTTATTTCGACTATTCCGTGCTCTTATTTTGAATAAATGCGGAAAATTTGTATTTTTTCGAAAATCGGCTAAAAAATTGTGGGACTGACTGGAATGCCGTATGACGCAATAATCGTGCTGATAGCGGCTTGCAACCAAAAATTCAACCATCGCTAATGTATGAACCGGCCAATTTGACAGTTAGTTTTGATCTCAACCACAATTGGCCACATTGAATCGGTTGACATTGAGACAACCACGCTTTTGGCACAAACCGTATGACATTTCAATATTGCACATTGCATCGGCATATCTGAATGCTGCTGTGTAAATCTTGATGAAATGCGGAATAAAAGGATTGAAAATGTAAACAACTTTTTTTATTGCAATTATTTGCACATCTTTATCTCTTTTTGCATACAAATCGATGATGCGACACGTGCTCTTTGAAGACAATGGTCTGTGTTTGATTTTGTTTGTTTGCATCTATTATAGTGCTAATTGAATAGACAAAACGCGGGAAAGACAAATATGATTGATGGCTTCTGTTTTGTATTGATGCTCACATTTAATCACAAATGTGTGAATAATTATCCAAACTTTACTTCCTATTCGTGTATCCATTGCGTTTGTGGCTATTTTACAGCTTTTGGAAACAGTTTAATTGAGGCTAGTTTATTCAATTATAGCTGTTGATTAGGTGATGACGCATCGATCATGAAAGAAAACGATAGATTTCCAAATGACACATCGCTTAATTAGTATAAAATCTGTGAGAATAATAATTCCTTGATTTGAATAACGTATTTCACGCGGAGAAACATCTTTTCACAGAAAGATATGAATTTCTCAACTAAAATTACCGACTTTTGAATTTGATTAATCATTGATGGATTTCTTAAATTTTCTCCATTTATTTATGCTTTAATTTGTATTTCAAAGTTTTGTTTTAAACAATAACAGCTTTACAGCCTTCCGAGACATACGGTAAATTCAAATGAATGCTAGACAATTTACTGAAATAACTAGTTTAAATAGGAAGTGGACTTAAGTTACAATTATTACGAATCACACACACTATCGAATTATTTAACGAAGACTTTCCAAAACGACAGTTTACTATCATCAGCGCAACAAATGTATGGCAAACGTGAGTGCCAGCCCAATCCACCGTAGAGTTTGAGCGATGCCACCAACAGTGGAAGTTCGGTTTTTTCCGATTTCAAATGTGTTACGACAAGCGACACGTTTGGCCGACCAATGCTGGCAACCACCTGTTGTGTATTTGGTGAATATTTGATTGCCAAACCACCATCTTCATGGAGTGTCTTTGTTTCCATCGCACGACTGAAAATGATAACAAAATGATGAAATTAGGAAATTTCAATTGGAAACAAAATGATTGACACCGATTTGAGATAAAATCATTTGAATAATTTTCAACATTTGGTTCAACTAAACACAACTTACTATGGGCATCTCAGATCAAAAACGCTTGCTTCGCCAGCTGCCAATGCAGTGACCAAAAATGGATTGCGTAAACACCAATCGGCGCCCATCAACGGTGATTTATTCGTTTCGATCGAATGGACAATTTGGCGGCTTTCAATGTTATAAATATGAATTGTGCCCCGTTTTTCGGCCACAAGCACTTTTTCCGGACTTTCTGGATGCCAACGAACCACAACGCCCGGTGATTTTAATCGAAAGACAATCTCACTCTTGTAGTCATCGTGTTGACTGCGAATTTGACATGAATGATCGTCACTGACGCTGGCCAAAAATCGACCCGACGATTCCCATGCAACGTCATTTACGTAGCTGGTGTGGCGGTTAACTTCTTGAACGGTGTCACTGTCATCTAAGTTCGATCGAAAGATTCTAACCACAAAATCAGCGCCGGCCGTACAGAATTTCACCAATTTTGGCAGCATGGATAGTGATGTGTCTGGTGCCAGGGCAATTGCATGGCTTCGTGTGTCTTGGTCAAGCTCACGCAAACGCTCCCATGTGAACTCTTCGTTGGCATTGTCTTCCTAGAATGGGGTGTGAAGCAAAAAGAAATATTCGGTTAGGAAGATACTCTTGGTTCTAAAGTTGATGCTTTTAATTCTGAAGCTGATGACTAAAGAGACTTTTATCGCTTAGAATTCCATTGAATAAAAAAAAATCTCTTTTGTTCTTCGCATCATTATGAAGCACCAATTTAATACATACAGGAAATTGAAACAAGCCCATCACAATTTTGGTTTGAAGTGCGGCCACAAACAAATTCGACGACGATTCGTACGATGAAATTTCAAAGCAATAAATTTGCTTGTTCAATGGAATCACAAATGTTGGCGGCGTAAGTGCAGTGGACATTTTCATTGCGTTATAAATTTATGCTTTGAACGAAACAAATTGGAATGGAAACAATGGTTAAATCGAATGCAACATTAAGAGATCACAGTGACAGCGGAAAAAGAAATGTATTGAACATTTAAAATCTGAAACTGATGGATTGTTAGCGGCAAATGTTATGACAGTCGTATGATTTCATGTGTGTGTATGTGTGTTTAAACAGAGCAATGTACTGGACGCATCCATTCGGAAAGTGGAGACAGTCGGTATTAAATTCGAAAATGTGGCAAGAAAATGATTCATGAACTTGCAATAAATCATCAAAAGACAATTTTTAATTGGGTTCAAATGAATTGAATCGATCAAATTGGCAATGAAATTGATTTGCGATCCAATTAAAAATTTCTGTTTCACATCATTGCACGCATGGGAGTGTTCTGTCAAAATGGCAATACAAGCAAAAAAAGGTAGTTGCCGGTTTGTATATTTCACATTGCGAGGCAAACCTAACCAATAAAATGATGCTGTATGTGGTTGTGTTGTTGTTATTGAGTAATTTTCCTTCCGTTCGTTTTGACACATCGAATATCAACAGCGAAACACCGAAAGAAAGAGAGAGAGAGTGAGAGCGCGCGCTGCGTGCCGACGACGACGACGACGACGACGACGACGACGACAACAGTGGAGACGCTTTCAATATAGAGCGTGTATATTGTGGGTCCCTTTGTTCGAAATCAGAGAGGAAAAAAAGAGCAGGCAACAGCATTGAGAGAGCTGTTTGCATTGAAACAGCATTGTCTTCTCTCGCACGCTACATACAAAATGACACACAACCACATGCATGCGGCACAATCCGATCATAAGTGTGGTAGCGCGCACATCTGAAGAAATACACGACGATAGACACACAACAAGAGACACACACAGTCTGAGAGAACGACAGACAGACAGACAGAGAGAGAGAGAGAATAAGACAAGAATACAAAAAACACCGACAACAGGCCAAATTCACGAGAAATTGAAAAAAAAAATGTGAGCGCGCTCACACACAACAGTATGTGTGTGAAGTGAACAAAAATATGGCACATCAAAACGTTGCCTCTAGATTCCAAAGCGATAATTTATAATATTTAAAAAGACAAAAAAATACCGAAAATTAAATATCAAACATTAACTCGTTTCCACTGTAAATCACTCCCCATCACCATAATACAAACCAATCAATTGGCAATGATTAGAATGTTTGATTAGTGAGAAGAAAAAAAAAACATAATAGAAAAAAAGCATTTCGTTTTCTTCGTTTATTTTTGTTGTTGTTATTTGAACAATTTGATATGTACAAAGAGAGTAGTCAGCAAATTTAATCACAAGAAAAAGAAAATGTTCTAATCGTTTTTATTAACATAAGGTTTTCCCTTTTGAATTGCTACCGAAAACGAAATAAATAAACAAACGATTAAATATTTTCTTCAATATTCCCATTTTGTATTGGACAATTCAAAAATTTGTTCGAAACAGTAATAGTGTTTGTGTGCAAGAATGTGCTCTTGCCCAAGCCGTTTTCGTTGAGAAAACCGCAACAACGACGACACGCTTGAAAATGACATTATGCGATACGCGATCCCATTGGCAAAGTCTTTAACATTGCAATAAAACAAGAAATAGAATCGAAAACATAGAGAAAATTGCGAGTTTCCAACGTGTGGAATCGACCGTCAGTGGATCATATTTTTACTTAGCATTTAGTAGAGTAGAGTTTTTTTTTAATGAATTCCTCCGAATCGAAAACCAGGTAAATGAATTGAATTTGTTGATGCAATTTTGTGTTTTTTTTCTGTTTTGCCTATCTATTGTGACTGTGTATATACGTTTGTTGGCTCTTGAAAGCATGATGCAATTACAACTTCAATTGAGCAGTGGTATTTTGATTCATCGCATCCGATTGCAATTTTGTTGCGTTATGATTGCATCATTTTTGACATAAGTTCCGAAAAATGCCGCGAAAATCCCATTGCATTGACAATTTGGTATGGGTTCTGACAAGAGTGATGTTGATGATCTTCAGGTAAATGCACCTCTTGTCGTCTTTGATTCGACAGTGATTGTTCCAACTGAAATTGAATTCCCGTTGAATGAAGCATCTTCGTCGACGACTCATTCCCAGACATTTCAGTTACATTCAAAGACTTCGGTTATAGAGTTTGGATTGATTTACTTTGACTTCGCCGACAATATGGCATTTATACCGCAGCAGCATTTTCAATGTGTCAATAGTGAAGTAAAATTCAACGAGCTAATCTAATGATGACCACATGTTTGTGTTTGAAGTGGATAATTTAGTGCAATACACACGGTGCACCATTCAATAAAACATCTCATGACCACGGGAAAATCCAATCGGATCGCAAAACAACAAAAAACCACCTCTTAACAAATGGTATCACTTAACCTCACTTATGGATGCATTTTGCAAACGCTCAGTGGCAATAAACAAATCGGTGATTTCATCCAAGTGCCCCAGTGAAACAAAACAAATGAAAGCACAAAATTTGCGAATAATTTCGATGAAAGTTCCAAATAGGCGTGTGAATTGATAAGATTAAGAATTAAAAGGCGTTTTCTTTCGGAGAAATGAGAAACAAGTAGAGAGAATTCGGAGAAAAGAACGAAAATAAATTCAGAAGAGATTAAAAAGAATTTCAGAAGAAAAAATGCAGAGACAATATGAAGAAGAAAATTGCACAGAATTAAAATTAATAGAGAAAGAAGAAAAAGAAGTGTCACATTGAACCTAACCGATTGTTGCTCTTTTTTATTTCACAGAATCTAGCAGAAGTAACCGAATCAAGCGTAGCCGTAATCAAATTTCATGAGGAAAAGAAGAAAGAAATAAGACACAAAGTGCGAATAATCAATTGATTAGTCAGAGTAACTGAGTGTTTGTGTGTGCGACAGGGAGAGAGAGAGAGAGAGTGTGTGAGTGAGTGAGAAGATTTCCCGAAGAGTTGTAATCACAATGGAAAACGATGTAATTCGATTGGCTGGCGAGCTGTCCGTTGCGGTTGAGGTGATCATGGATCCAAATGTATCACAACAAGCCCGGATGGATGCCTACATTGCCTGTGAAAAGTAAGTGAAGCCACACTTTTGTGTCGGTGTGAATGAATTCATAAGATTTTTTTCTTCCATTGAACAGATTCAAAGATATGTCACCATTCTGTGCACAAGCCGGCCTTTACTTGGCCAGCGGTCCATTTAGCGCAAATATTCGGCATTTCGGATTGCAACTGATGGAACACACCGTTAAATTCAAATGGAATTGCATTTCACAGGAGGAGAAAATCTTCATCAAGGTAAAATTTTTGGATAATCTTGTTGAATTTTCAACAAAGAAGTTTCAGACGTTGATTAATCTAGAATTAAAAATTATACCCGGTTTATTTAAAAATTAAAACCAATCAGTAGGCGATGACGAGAATGAACCATAAAATCGTCAATTGTAACCAAATTCTAATTCCAACCATTTCATTTCTCCTATTCCCGCAGGAAAATTCAATGAAACTGTTGAGTTTGGGTGTTGGTCCGGCAGAAGATTCATCAATATCTCACATAAAAGATGCATTATCGCGTATCATTGTTGAAATGATAAAGCGAGAATGGCCTCAGCAATGGACCACCCTATTGGCTGAACTATCCGATGCTTGTACAAAGGGTGAACCACAAACCGAATTAGTTCTGTTGATATTTTTGCGTTTGGTTGAAGATGTTGCCCTACTACAGACCATCGAATCGAATCAACGACGCAAAGACATTTACCAGGCACTCACCGTCAATATGACTGAAATTTTTAATTTTTTCCGACGTTTAATCGAATTGCATGTAAACGCCTTCCGGAGCACCACTTCGATGGGCGATCAAAAGGCTCGTGCTCACAGTCGTGTCGTACAAGTTGTCCTATTGACATTGACTGGTTTCGTTGAATGGGTATCAATTGTTCATGTAATGGCCGAAGACGGTCGTTTGTTACACATTTTATGCATTTTATTGAATGATGTTGCATTCCAAATTCCGGCTGCCGAGTGTCTGGCAATCATTGTGAATCGAAAGGGTCAGCTGAAGGAACGACGACCGTTAGCACTTCTATTCACCAAAGATGCAATCGAATACATTTATCGGGCGGCCAGCACAACGACCGGCATACCATCGGATCATTATTATGCATTTTTGAAGAAATTGGTGGCCGTTGTGTCCGGCCTCACATCACAATTGGTCACACTGTGGGGAAAAGAAGAGACACCGGTCATTCAGCCGGCACAGTTATCTACATTTTTGGAAATTGTGTACACACTTGCACGACATCCAAGCCTCACAATTAGTCATGGTGCCACACTCATATGGAACGTTCTACTGAAACACGATCAAATTTCCAAAGATCCCATTTTCGTTGATTACATACCGAAAATCATCGAAGTTGTTGGACCAAAAGTACTGAAGGTGAGGTGTAGTTTCGTTTTTTTTTTTTTGGTAGTATTTTCATTTTGTTTGACCTTTTTTGTGTGACTTTTGGAATTTTTTCTTTCATTTCTAATGATTTTTTTGAAAATTGTCTACTTTCTTTCGTTTTTGAAGAGAGACAATCGTTTTTGAGGATTTTTTCATTTTCAGTGTATTTGAATAACAACCCTTATTAGATAAATTTCATTCAAATGCCAAATTTTCCCCATTTCAGGTTCAATATCCAACAGCACGAACATTGCAAATATCAGATTCACCTCAATCATTTGCGTGCATCGATTACGATAGTGAGGAGGAATTTGCCATGTTTTTCTACCGTTGCCGAACCGATATTCTGGAAGTATTCCGTCAATCAACGTTGATCGCACCATTGGTTACCTTCGCATACTGTGAGCATTGGATTCGATTGCGATTACAAAAGGCGGCCAACGAACGGAACACGACGTAGGTTTTAGATTATAATCCACCAAAATCTCATAGACTTTTTTATATTGATTTTTATTTCGCATCGATTTCTATAGCTTTGATTTCAATTTTTAACGTGTGTCCTATTCCGATCATTCAATTTCAGATGCAGTGTACAAGATCCGGCTTACCTAGAATGGGAAGCAATTTCCGTGGTATTGGACAGTGTATTGAGTCGAATTCTAATGGTGAATGAACGACCATCCGTTCAATCTGGATTACTCATACTCGAAGAGTGTTTGCGAATCGATTCACGTGATCCGTTGATTCTGTCAATCGTTCTAACGTGCATTTCATCGTTGTTCGTCTTTCTGAGTATGTCATCTTGCCAAATAACCGCTGGCAATTGTATTGCCATGAGTGGTGTATCACTGTTGCCACGTGTTTTAGAGAAAATTTTCGCTTGTGTCATATTCCAAGAGCCAAGTCAACCGATAGCCACCAAAAATTTGCGCCGTCATTCGGGTTCGTTGCTTGTAAAACTTAGCATCAAATATCCGTTGCTATTGTTGCCAGTATTTGATCAGATCAATTCGACGATCAAGAATTTAGTGGCACAACAGACGGGTTCATTGAGTAAAATGGAGCAAAATCTGTTGCAAGAGGCTCTGTTAGTCATTTCCAATCATTTTGGTGACTATGAGCGTCAAACGGCGTATGTGAGCGAGATAATTGTGCAAAGCAACACACTCTGGTCATCAACGTCGACGGCTCTCGATTCGGCCCGTGAATTTATGCGCTTTGTTGGCATTGACAAGCCGCCCATGGCCGATGCACAACTCGATCCAAATTGGCCAAATCGAACGAATTTGATGCATGCACTGAACACAGTGCTCGGTGTGGTCAAGCGTTGTTCATGGCCTGACGATCCGGATCGTGCATCACGCGGCGGTTTTGTTGTTGGTTTCACCGAATCAGGCAATCCAATTTATCGAAATCCAGCCACACCACATGTTGTTCCAATTCTTCCGAAAATTCTGTGCTTGGCACGTATTTTTAACGATTTATACAGTGCGGATGTGTCATGCCATTTGGCCGATGGATTCAAACAGATCAACAGTATGCTGGAACAAGAGAAGAAAAATTTAATGGGATTGCCACCAGTGTTAGTTGATCCAATGGATCCGAATCAAACAAAGGAACTACCAACTGTATCAAAGCTTCAAACCTATATGCAAACACTGTTCGATAATTGTTATCACTTATTGGGTTCGGCTGGACCATCGTTGGGCAGAGATCTATACGAATTACCTGGCATTGGTACGGCATTGGTTAACAGTGTCTTTGCCAGTTTGCTGAACGTACCCGATCATCGTCTTCGAACGATCATTCGCGTTTTCCTCAAACCATTCATCTACTCATGTCCACCTGCCCTCTATGATTCCGTCATTATGGATGTTCTGAAACATGTTCTACCATTGAGTGAGTAAAATGAGCCGTTTTTGTACGAATTTATTATGTTTTTAATCAGTCTGATCAACAGAATGACTTTGATGACAAACATACGGGATGATTAAGACTTTTAAATCGGGTTTTTTCAACAAAACTTCGTTTTTTTGCAGTGCTAAATCGCTTGACGGCACGCTGGCAATACATCACATCCCTATATGAATCCGGCGAACTCGGCGAAGATGTCAATGACACACAGGAAGTGGTCGAAGATATGCTCAACCGAACACTGACCCGCGAATATTTGGATGTCCTTAAGGTAGCTCTGGTTGGTGCCACAATCACACCGCAAAGCATTGAACGTGACAATTCGTCCGGTGCACTAGACATGGACCAGGACGACCATTCGATGGATATACCAACACAAAACACTCGCGCAACACTCGCCACCGAGGTGATTAGCGATTTGGGAGCGAAACTTTTACGCAATCCAGGCACATGTGATTCAATTTGCTTTACAATTTTAAGGTGAGACAATAGTCATTTGTTGATTCAATAATGAAAAATTTCAACAATTGTTGAGGCTCAATTGAGACACTTTTTCGATTGTTGACGATTTTTCGTTAGGAATTTTCCATTAATCTTTTCCTATTTTCCATTGAAAGTGTTCTTCGTTTGAAACTAATGAAATTTCTCAATTCTTCTGATTTCAGTGCGGTATCATGGAGTGACACATCGTGTAATTTCAAGGCCGTTCTACTAACGGGACCGATAGTGAGATTCTTGGCGACAGAGGATCTTCTGACGTCCTCACTGGCGACACACGTTCTATTGGCTGTTCTACAGGGATTGCAAATTCACGGACAACACGAAGCGAATCAGGTAAATTGAACGAAGAAAAAGACATTCGGACACATTTTCTTTTGAAGTCTCTTTTAATATTTGGTAAACTCAATTCATTTTTGATTCACTGAATAATATCAAATGTTACCGCATCCGATATGCTCGGATATATCCGTGCCTTACGAAATGCTGAGATGCTCAGCAATCTTAAAACACATGTTTGATTTAATTAAACGCACGAAACACTCTCCAATCTCGAAAACTTAAAATGCCTTTGTCGACCAGTTTTTTTTTTTCGTTTTTTGAAAAATAATGCTATGACTAACGCAATTGTCCCATTTTAGGCAACATTGATAACGCTGGGTGTTCAAGTTTACGAGATTATGCGGCCGAAATTCCCTCACATTGTCGAAATAATGCAGCAAATACCAAACACAAACGTGGCCGATATCCAGAAACTGGACGAGAAAGTCTTGGTGGGCGCACAAAGCAAGGGCAAAATCGATAAATACAAAAAGGATCTATTTAAAAAGATTACGGCACAGGTGAGTATTTAGCTACGTTTTGGGTCATTTGCTTGATTTCGTATAAGAAAATTTGCTGTAGGAAATTTAATTTGGGAAAAAATTGGCTTTTCTTCAACACAAATTTTCACGTTTTCTGACCTTTTTGTCCATTTTTCAATTTTTGATGATTTTTCTCTTCAAAAATTTGTTTAATTCTCGATAAATTTTGAATTTTTCTCTTGAATGAAAACCTAAAAAGAATGTTATTTACACAAAACTCATAATTTCCATTTCCAACTATTTGTATCTTCCAGTTAATCGGCAAGAACATCGGTCAGTTGTTCCGTAAAGAGGCTATCTTCGCCAATCTGCGACCAATGACAAACCCATCGGCCAATTCAGCAACCTACACTAGCCTTTTAGATAGCAATAATCAGGAAACGAATATCGTGTCCCAATTATTTTCAACGAATAGTTAGTGAATCGAATATTTAGCAAAAAAAAAGCAAATATACAAATGAATGAAAACGAGAAAAAACAACCAATTTAGCGCTTCTGAATGGAATGGTAAAATCGCCGCTCCTCTAAAACGGAAAAAAAAAACAGAAGAAAAAGCAAAAAACCATTTTGGCAACTCATCTGATTATAAATCGATTTTAATTTTGTTAAGTTTTGCTTCTTTTCAACTTAATCAATGTTTTTTCCTTGTTTTCTTATTTACTCATGATGATTTGTTTTCTTGTTGCCAATCATGCGAATTCGATAATTATTTTTTTTCGCCTAATTTATTTCGTGTTTTTTTTTTATTTAACTTTAACAATTCCGAGAGCTCTAAGCCAATTTGTCACACAAAATCCAACCGAATTATGTAAATCCATTTCATTCAGGATCTGGATTTAAAATATTTGAACGAAATTTTGGCGGCATTAAAAAGTATAAATTCATTGTTTTTTCTGTTTTAAGAATTTACATTCGAAATCCGACAAAGTCGGACAGAGGATTACACACACAAAGTGTTTGCCCGAAACAAATTACATATTTTTGTTGCATTTGGCGCCATCGTCAACCATCGAGAGGCATTAAATGAAATGGATAGCTCCGGCTCAAATACTTTGTAACATTCTTTAAGCGAAAGACAACACATAAATTATTACAATCGAAAGAAAAAAAGAAACAGCAGATACAAAGAATTTTGATAAAATCTTATCTTCCGCCAAATTGCATTCAACACACATTCAGATGATGCGCAGTTAAACTTTTTTTCATATTTTTTTCTAAACACACACACACACAAATGATTTTTCTAGAAATATTAAAGGAAAATATCTGTTATATTACTGTAAAATATTCAAATGAATAGAAGAAGAAGAGGAGATGAAAATCATAAGATAAATCGAAAACAAATTTCTAATTCTAAATAAACTAATCGATTGATGTAGTTTTAATTGCAAACTTGAAAACATATTTAAATAAACAGAAAAATTTATAGCTATTTTGTAATGAAATAAACAATCAACATGGAACAGCTAATTTAAATTACACGTTGCTTACATTTATTCAATTTCATTTTTTTTGGTTGCAATGAATTGAAAATATGTTATTGTATTAGAATCAGATACTGTTTCATAGACAGCTGCTGTTTGACGGCATTTAAAATGATGCATTTCTTAACATTTCGCCGCCAATCGAGTGTCATCTTATGAAAAATGAATGTTTTGGGTAAGTACTTTGTTTATATTGTGAGGAAATTCTACAATCACCAAATGCGGCATGATGTACACAACTTCCATATGCATAACTTTTTGCAGTCAAATTTTGTGTTGTGAAATTATTCACTACGAATTTTATTAAATTGTTCATTTTTTCATGGTCGCAATGTAAGTTTTCATCTTTGTCAAATATATATTGACAGCTGAAAGAAAAAGGACATAAACAGCAAATGCAACAGCTGATGATCGTTACATTTGGCCATCCAAAACATACACGGTTGCTTTTGGTATTTGAATTCAAATCAACCATGATATGCGCTCTATTCAAAGTAATTACAATCATAGCTAATCAACACGGTATATGAATACTGTTCATTGAACACATGACAGAAAAGGTCGAATACTTTCTCTATCGTACAAAATCTCCTGGAATTTTTTTTCATTGGAAGATGGAGACCTCTAGCAGCAATCATAAAACACACTGAACTGCCAAAAAGGATATAAACATTGGAATGAGAAATTGGGAGTGCTGTAAACAAAGAAAAAACACATGGCAGCTGCTTTTAGTTATGAATCCTCAACGGAATTTACGTTTTGTTTTAACTATTTTGTATAAGATCAGAATGGAACATATTTTCAAATATATTGCTAGCTTAGGGATGATTTTACAAAGCATAACAGATCAATTTATTAATAATTGAGAATGGTTTTTGTATATTCAGTGGTCTTGGAGGGATTTCCATTATTTATTTTGATATTTACCGGGTAAAGTGTTGAGAAAACCAATATTTGGCTTTCCATAAATCAAATTCAATTCTTTTTTTTCCGTAGGCGATGCTGAGATTTACAAAATCGGCCCGAAGTTCAGTTGTGATTATTTGTTTTTTTTTTAGTTAGAATTGCCTCAGGTATTACATATAAACTGCATCAAAAGTTAATTGCATGGCTTTTACAAAGTCTGTGAAATTTTGTTTGTTTTTCTTTCGGTGCAGGTTTTATCTTAACACTTGTTGAATATCTAAACATCAGGTTAAAAGAACGATGGTCCAAGACGTGTTATTATGTTGGAACATTTTTGCTGTGTGAAACATTGACGTGCCTTTCGCTGACAATAATCTTTCTCTATATAATGCCAGATCGAGAAAATCATATGATGCTTTGTTTCATTGATCTCTCATTCATTATTTGTATACATTTGGAGAACATATCAAACACAATACTACATTTGTTACTAATCGATTTCACATTTTGTCGTGTATGTAAAATTTACATTGTAAATTAATACCCATTTATTTATTTCGCATGAAAAATGAATGTAATAAAAAAGAACATTTTTTTCCAGTCAAATTTTTTCCTCTTCCAAACAAGGCTACAATATCTACGTGATATATCATCGTTTCTTATGTCTGTAGGAAAAATGGTGTTTTTTATCTTTTACGCATTTACTTCTTTGGATATTCTCTGTACTTCAATGTCATATTTGTGCTTGCATCTCAGTATGCATGCATTTGATGATGAATGTTTCCTACAGGATGAATTTTCGCAAGAGCTGATAAAAAAACAAACTGGGATATCATTCATTAATACTTTTAAATATTTCGATCATGTTTTTGTTGGTATTCATTTTGTCACACGGTGCGTGTAGTATTTATATACTGTGTAATATAATGTATTTTTTCTCTTCAAAGACATATTACCTAATGAAACATTTTTTTTTTCTCGGTAATTTGTAGTTCGACAACATTGTTTGTTAACAAGAGCTAGACGCACCATTCTTCGATACATAAATGATGCTGCCATCGCCGGTTGACAGGTCAATGATGAGTTCAAAACTTGATGAAATATACGATTTATTTGATGATGAATTAAGCAAGCGAAATTAGGATTTATTTTAAATATAATTATTGGCCATCCATCAACGGCGAAATGCAGTTAGCTAATCCATAGCAGCATTTTGAGACAGTTACAGAAATTAAATGGCAAATTCAATTGTAATGAAAACGTGTATAGGTTGAACACGGAAATTGCCATGATATGAAAAACATTTAAATTAAATTGTAGCGAAATCCAATGAAAATCAAATAAATACTTGAGATTTGCCATGATTGAAACACTCGTTGCCTCATTGTTACGTTGCCTCAAACGTAAATGATTCACAGCGAGCCGACATTCAGCTGTGAAATTGTGGCGTAATTTTTTTTTTAATGACTTCTCACGTGTTGGAATGGGGATCACTTTTTTGACACTATCAATCAGAAAACCAGTCGGATTTGTGTTATGAATTACTTTGATTATTGTGTTTACGTTTCAAAAGTCCCATTTAATTGGGCTGTGTGAGTCTTTTTTTCATCCATCGAACAGGTGGCACTTAAAAGTCTGCACCTGGCAACATCATCGGATTGTCTTATCTCGATGGGTGACAATTGTTTTTCTGCCGCGACTGTTCTATCGATAAAGTGCTACTTGTAGTGGGGTTTGTTGAAGAAAAACACAATGAGCGAATGGCCAAAACAACAATGAATTTTAGTTTGAATTGATAAGATTGCCAGTTTGACACCCATTGTTGGAAATAACAACCACTTATCCACGATTGCGTAAGATGCGATATGCGATGAGCTTTATAAATGCTTCGTTCATATTCAGTCGAACAATTAGTGCCAATTTTTAATTCAACCAGTTGACACCGCGAACTAAAAACAAATCCAAATCAAAAATGGTTCTTAAGGTCGTTTGCCTCATTTTGGCCGTTATAGCCACCGCCAATGCCGTAGTGTTCTCAAAATGTAAGTTTCTATTTGTGCGGATGTCATGTTTTTTTACTGCAAACAATTACCGTTTTCATTTTAAACTGGAAGCTTCGCCTCGCTTCGCTCGATTGATATTCACAAGTTTAGTTTCATCAGTCAAAGACACATTCATGTCTGTACAGTGTACACATCTTGTTAAGTAATCTGATTTGAACCATTTGTAAAATGATAAATTCCAAACTCCTGAAATAGATTCATTCGAAGAGAATTTTTTTCATGTTTTTCTGATGAAATTTGTTCCCAAATTTTCTGGGACTGTTTCTATGAAAATGTGTTGAAATCAAAACTAAACATTTGAACATATTTATGTACGGTGCACATTTGTATTTACTGTTTAAGTACTATAATTATGTGAATTAAGTTTATTATGGTCACCAGCCAGAGATGCTCATAGTAACAGAAAACATTAAAAAAAACAATTTTTCTTCAAACTTTTAAAAATATTATTCAAAAATCGAAACTGCATTTATAAGATCCTTCTTGAGGCTGCGAGAAATCAAACGGTACGCATAACAATAAAACCATTGATTGAAAAAAGGTGCAAACACTCGCGACAGACACACACACACACACACAGACGAACATCCAGATTTAGATAGATAATAAATTCAAATTTGATTGAAAATAATCCAATTTTAGGCGATCAAGATCCAGAAGCCGTTAAGGTTGTCATCGACAATTGCAATGACAATTACTGCGAAGTGAAACGTAGCCAGCCAGCCAAAATGGAAGTCACTTTCAAAACGGCCAAACAGGCAACCGAGTTGACCGGTACCATTCACGCACTAATCAATGGCGTATGGATTCCATGGCCAATGGGTGCCGCTGGCAAAGTGTGCAGAAATTTGTCCAAAGGTCAATGCCCAGTTGCAGAAAATACTGAAGCCACATACGCTGTTAGCATTAAAGTCCCATTCGTTGCACCAGTCGGAACCAAGACCGTTGTCCAAATTCGCATAAGCGATCAAGACAAAACTGTCGTTGCCTGCACCCGTATCCCTGTTCTTGTCGCCGCTTAAGTCTCTCTATTGAAAATGGAAAATGAAATAAATAAAAACGAAAATTTTAAAATCAATTGGAAAATGTTGTTTCTTTACTACTTTCAACCGCAAACGTGTTTCTCAAATTTATTTCGATTTTTCTATGCCACAAATAAAAATGAAACCGAAATTTATTGAAATAAATTCATGGAGTCTTAAGCAAAATCAGCCGTAGCTATGTCGGGGACACTAAGTAATCATTCATTTGCATTGAAGAACTATTTTTTTTTCCGCAAATCTCGAAAATCACAGTTCGAAATGAAGTTCTTCTCAACGGTTGTATTGACCGTTTTGTATTTAGAGGTAAGTAGTGCTAAGACAGCATTGTTGTCCTATAGTGGACATCCTTTCTTTTCTTCATTTCATTTCCATTCTAGCGGAAAGAAATTTTCAATAATAAAATGCAACGGTTAACGTGGATTAAAATAGGATGTATCGGTTGCGTCAGCAAAAAGGCTTTGAAGTCATCAATCCGCTTTTCGATAACTACGGCATGAACTTTTAACCAAAAAGCAATAAAAATAACGAATGAATTTATTCTCGTGAAATGGAAAGATAATTTTTATTTCGAACCAAATAGATTTATTCTGGATGTGATCATCAATGAAGGAATTTGAACATCAATTTCGATTTAATCGCACGACTTGCGCGGAGTGACTTTTTGCTCGGATATTAGTTTCGAACATGTTTTGAATTGAAAGATAAAAGCAAAACCAAAGAAAAAAAATGTGTAAATATTAAGAGATCAATCTTCCATAACATCAAAAATAAAATCAAACTAAATTTGTCAACAGCTTCACATAAGTTTTACAGTTGTCAGTTATCTATTAATTGCTCTTTGGACATAATTTCTCAAATTATTATCGCAATCAAATATAAAAAATCTTTGCATTATTCGCGTTTCTGATAAGATTATTCGAGAGTACATCATTAAATTATTAGAAAAAATGAAGAAAAAAATGAAATGTTCGAACAACAAAATTATGTCATCAAATATATTGGGCTTAAATTGAAGACAATTGACACTTTGATTGACAATTTTGAATTTGTAGTATTTTTAGACACTTTCGAATATTTTTCTTATTTGGAAGATATTTCCAGGACACATTTTCTAATTATAAATTGTAATTCGAATCGTAGACATGATTTGAAAACATACTTGGAATTGATGTTAAAAATGTATCAATAAAATTTCCTTTCAAAAGTGATAATTGATTATAATGAATTGACACTTGCAATCAGCCAATTGTTCAGAATCAAACTCAATTCGAACGAAAAGCCCTGTCAAAAATCCATCTCAAAAACACGAAAACGCCCAACAGAAGAAATAAAAAAAAACAGTGTTTGAATTTCGCGCGTTGGTCGTATAGTTGCGCTAGTGGGCTTTGTCATGTGTCTGACAAGTGTGTATGTCAGTGATGCCAACCGGCAAATATTGAGAGTGTTTCGCCTCTTTATTCACCCGATAAGTAATTGTGCTTTCAATTTGTGTGGTGTCATTTGTGTATTAATCAACATAGTGTTAAAAATTTTTTTTTGTTCGCTTTCTTCTATCAATAGTAAAAAAAGAGTCATCGCAGTGACGTTAGTTACAACAAAGACATAATCTGGAATTTTAGATATTTAGAGCATTTGCAATTTTTATAATTCACGGTGTAAATTTGTGATTGGAATTGGTTGTACACGGTAAATTTGGGTAGGAAAAAAGAAAAAAAGATGTTTCGAAGTTCGAGTTTAGATAAAACATTGGGTAGGCATTTTTCTGTTGAGTATTTTTTTTCCCTCTGTATAATTGGCTTTATACACTGCTGATAATTGAATTTCGAATGAATCACTACAACAAAAACACAACCAGATTTCTTCAGTAGATTCAACTCAATTCAATAGACAGCGAAATACCATCAATTTGAATGTGGTTTTTTTTTTATTTGTGCTTGGAATTTAGTGTTGTGTTTTTTAGTTTGTCATATTTTCTATCTCTGTTACTCTCTTTTGTGCAGATGTTGCATGTTCGCATTTACGTTTAGAGCCAGACTGGCCATCGATTCTACTAATTTGTGACTTGATTCGACAAAATGACTCAACGTAAGTACCCAAAAACAAATAATTGGCCCTTTTCACGGCAAACTCTCAACTTTTTGCGGTGTTTTTATTTTCCGAAATTAGGCCAAAAAATGCAGTTCAATCGATAAAAAAGAAGTTGCTGTCACCAAATCCACATACCGCCTATTACGCGTTACTAGTACTTGAAAGTGTTGTGAAAAATTGCGGTTCGCCCATTCATGACGAAATCGCGACCAGAGAAAATTGTGAAATATTTACGCAACTCATCGAAAGTACACCGCATGAAAATGTCAAAACGAAAATGCTGGAATTGATCCAGGCATGGGCCTATGCATTCCGTACCTCTGACAAATATCAAGCGGTCAAAGTGAGTTATCAGTTTACGAAATTGCGTTTTTCTTCGTTTGTTTACTTGGTGTTTTCAATTGAAATGATATGTGATGTGTTTGTTTTGCCCATTCCGATATAGGACACAATGACAATTTTAAAAACGAAAGGTCACCAATTTCCCGAACTCAAAGAAGCCGACGCAATGTTCACCTCGGACACAGCCCCAATATGGCACGATGGAAAAGTGTGCCATCGATGTCGTGTGGAATTTTCTTTTACGCAACGAAAACATCACTGTAGAAACTGTGGCCAAGTCTTTTGTGCACAATGCTCGGCCAAAAGTTGTACTTTACCCAAATTTGGCATCGAAAAAGAGGTGTGTATCGTTTTGTTTCATTCAATTTGATATTTTCTTTGAACATTTTTGATTGAATTGAATGTTGAGTGTGCTCAATTTTAAAAATGTCAAACAAATAAACATTAAATTGTTTGCAATTCAAAGCCTAGTAAGCAAGCAAATGTAATGAAACCAAACTAAAAAAAATCTGTTCAATGTTCAAGGTTCGTGTGTGCGACGGTTGCTATGCAGCACTCCAAAAACCAAGCTCAGGTACTGTGAAACGTAGCGAAGGTCCAAACGATTTACCAGCCGAATATTTGAATAGCTCATTGGCACAACAAGCGCAAGTATGTGTAGCAAATAATAACAATAATCGCCTTATTGGAAAATTACAATGACCAATCGAATATAGAGAGCGATCTCGTTATCAATCTTTCAATTCATTCTTTTTGTTTCGTCTAAAAATAGACTCCAGCCCGTAAAACCGAACAAGAATTGAAGGAAGAGGAGGAATTGCAATTAGCAATAGCGCTCAGTCAATCGGAAGCTGAAATTAAGAACAAAAAGGTCAGGGATAAACGCAATTCAATGGAGGAAAAAACTAGCATTCCCATTGATTAAATTATTCATTTCATTGGAGAATGATTGAAATATTCATTGACTTGCAATTGATTTTTCAGGCGACGTCATACCGTGCGCCAACTCGTAAGACGAGCAGCCCTGAAGCAGCGAACAATGTATCGCCAGTGGCACCGTTTTTAGAGCGTGATGCAAGTCCCGTGTCGACGGCCGCCGCTTTCGATGACCGAACAACCGATCCCGAATTGGCCAAATACTTGAATCGTGATTATTGGGAGCAACGTGGAAATAGCGCACCAAATGGTCACAACCAATCGAATGACATGCCGGCCAATCCAACGGCACCAACACCATCGGCAACACCACAACCAAATACGTTTCTTACCAATCCTATTTTAAATGCAAATGTAAATTGCCATTTTCATTTCTTATTTCTCAAGTCTAATTTTTTCAGATCTCGTTTAATTTATATTGAAGTTGAATTTCTGTGTTTTTCAAATTCGTTTTCTCTTCGATGGTATTTCCCCTTCAATCAAGTCAGACGTAAACACTAACATCAAATTCCGTTCCATTATTTTCCAGAACACCAACGAAGATGCAGAAATCGACAATTTTGCGTCCAATTTGAAAACGCAAGTGGAAATCTTTGTGAATCGCATGAAATCGAATTCGAGCCGTGGCCGTAGCATTTCGAACGATAGTTCGGTGCAGAATCTATTTTTGAATTTGACCGCAATGCATTCACATTTGTTGGATTACATCAAGAAATCCGATGATAAACGGATGTGGTTTGAACAGTTACAGGATAAGCTAACGCAAATCAAAGATTCTCGGGCTGCATTGGACGTATTGCGGCAGGAGCATCAAGAGAAATTGCGCCAACAAGCCGAAGAGCAAGAGCGACAACGTCAAATGCAAATGGCATACAAATTGGAGTTGATGCGAAAGAAAAAGCAGGAATATTTGCAGTATCAACGTCAATTGGCATTGCAGCGCATTCAAGAGCAAGAGCGTGAAATGAAAATGCATCAAGATCAACAAAAGGTGATGTATAGCATGGGTGTACAATCGCCGTATTCATCACCATATATGCAACCGCCGGGCACATCTCAACAACCAAGAGTGTTGCCCAATGAATCGTCACCAGCTCACATGATGCCACACACCATGAACAACTATGGACCTGGTCCAACTGGACCAATGCCACCGGGCAACTATGTACCACATCCAAATCCACAAATGGAACGATATAATCCTATTCCGCCGCAACAACCGCAACAGCTACCACAACATCAGCAGCAACTACCGCCGCAGCCGCAGCCGCAGCCGCAGCAACCAATGTACTCAACCGTTGGTGGTCAACCAACATCGATTGTAGCTGGAATGCATACCGTGCCACAGCCATACCCAAATGCAGTCGCTATTCCGAATGCAATGCCAAATATGGCACCACCAAATATGGGCGTTCCAAATCAAGCATTCCCACTATCACAAATGCCTCCGGTACACACGCAACACATGCAACCCGAACAACCGGTTCAATATGCACCACGTAAGTTTGCAGTGCAATGCGAATTGTTTGTTGATTCTTCTTTTTTTTTCTTCAATGTTTGAATATTTGAACGATTTGTTTCTTTCGAAATCTCCATCAGAACACCAACCATTACCGCCACCAACACAACAGCCACCTCAACCTCAGCCACAACCTCAATTACCACAACCAGAGCAACAGCATCATCAAATTGCACCCGTTGCTAATGTGCCTGCTCCGGTACCAGTCGTAGAAGAGAAGGAGCCCGTTCAAGAGAACAAACCGGCTGTTCCCGAAGCCGAATTGATTAGCTTCGATTGAACTAACCAAATGATATAGTAATTAAAAAAAAAAAAACAGAACAAAAAAACACATTAAGAGAAATGATAACATGTTTATAATTCAGCAACGCGCTGACCCCCCACAGTCCCCTGCCAAGAAAAAAAAACCCATTGATGCAATGAAACGGTTAAAGTTTATATGAAAACCCTATGATGAAATTATATTTGTTTAACGTTTCTTTATTCTATTCTTTTCCATTTCCTTTTTTTCAGTTTTAGTTCAGTTCTTTTTCTAATTAACATTATTTAACCATAACAAAATGAAATTATTATAAATATTGTCCAATTTATGAAGAAACTATTCAATAAAGTTTTTTTCTGGCAGTTTAAAATTGTAAATGGTTTCTTTTTCTTGGCATTTTACTGTGAGTATGAGGTATGAATTTCAAGAATTTCATGGAAGAATAAAAACATCACCGTTTTTCAATCACATGACCAACAATGTGATGACCATTCAAGTACTTTTCAGCGAAGATAAAATGCTTTCTTTTTCAAGAGGATTTTATTCTTTTCAGAATTGTCAGCCACTTGATTCGGTATCAACCACTTGAATGTTGACCTGAGCGCCACCTTTTGCAACAATCCAAATGATGATTCTTTGGAATGTACTTGTTGCGCACAACTTAAGTATTTAACATCGATCGCAAAGAGTAAACAGAAATAACTATATTGTTGCAGAAATTGATGCAATTTTCTTTCGATCTGAAATCATTTATAATTCTGCAAACTGTTGTTGAATATGATTCTCTAATGAATCGACTATTCAATTGTTAATTACTGAAAATTACCTGGGGTAGAATGATACATTCAATAATATGAATAACCAGTTCAGCGAAAGCGGAAGTTCTACGCTATATGTAGTGTTGGCCGTCGAACACTTTCGAGCGCTTGTTCATTTTGTTCGATGTTCGGTCCGAACAAAATTTTTTTACATTAGAAAATTCGATGTATTGATCAAATTTATAATGTAATCGTTACAGCTCATGCTTTTATTAGCTTTTACTTTTCCGTACCCAACGTGTCAAGGGAAAGTATAGGAATTGGTCTCGAAAACTTTTTTCGCAAAATTAGCTTAGATCATCATAAAAACTCATGAAACGCGTAGAAAACCACTTTTTGAGACACTTTTCCGTTCGTGTGCCGTCGTCGTTGTCGTTGTCGTCGTCGTTGGTTTTTGTTAACACGACAACTTAAAAAATAATTGAGATAATCAAAATCTGGAAATGCCAAAAGTTTTGCATCCAATAAACTTAGTTTAAGTTCGAAGATGAGCCATTTTCGATTTGATCCTGGGGTACTTGCCCCAAGAAAAACCTCAAAAAATTGACACTTTTTGTACCTGTAAATCGACTCCGATTGGCTTCAAACTTTCTGGGATTTCATTTTTTGGGAGAAAAATAAGATTCTGAAAGTTTGAAACCAATCCAAATCGATTTACGGTACCTCCCATACAAAATTTTTGAAATTTTGACTAAAATTCCGCCAACCAAACGCGATAGATGGTCAGCTACGGCTGACGCTCGTTATCCAGATAATTTGCGTGCGGTGAACGCATACAGAACGCTCCGCTGACATTCCGTTTTTGTGACGAGCGATCCATCCAAATAGCATGTTGCAATTTACTTTTGAAATGTACCTCACATTAGTTCAAATGAAAGCCGTCATGTAATCATACGAACAGCGCTCAAATCGTTTTGTAGAATTTTCATACAAAATGACAGTGAGGCACTTTTGCAACATGCTATTTATGATAGAATCCATGAATTTGTTTGGATAACACGTCACAAAGTCAGAAAAATTATGGATTCTATCATGAATTTGGATGGATCGCACGTCACAAAAACGGAATGTCTGTGCCGGTATTCTGGAACACAATCCACAAAAATAATGCGGAATTATTACGAGCAATCAATTGTATTTTGGAAGGTGGTATCCAAACGTTATATAGATTTGTCTCTTTTTCATTGATTGAACGTTTGGTTTCCTCCTTTCAAAGTACAATTGATCGCTCGGTGGCAGCGAAGCGTTCTATATGCGTTCACCGCACCCAAATTATCTGGATAACGAGCGTCAGCCGTAGCTGCCCATCTATCTCGTTTGGTTGGCTGCTAAAATTACCGATTTTTGGACAATTTTGTATGAGAGGTACCCGTAAA